AGGGAGATTACGGTAGAATTTTTCATAATCGGATTTATCGAAGATTTCTGCAAAAATTAGCTGACCGGAATTTGAAATTTTCTTAAAAATTATCGAAATGTAAATTTTTGGACTATCAAAAAACGGAATAGTGAAAATTTAAAATGTTCGCATCCCAGTAACAGTAAAAGAAATTTATTAGCTTTCTATGCCATTCTTTCATTTCACCCAAATCTAACAGTTTTAAAATACGCTTTCTAAAAGTTTCCCAATCCCTCTAAAATGTACTGAAAATTCCAAAAAAGATGACAGACCAAGCCCGTGAATTATTGTAATTTCCCCTTGAGAAAATGATTCACATGAATCCAGGAAAAAGTACGTGACTCATAAAGTCCAATCCGACAATCCAAGCAAACCGACAAAATTGGGAATTAGATACCGTAAACCCGCGCCCGAGGGGGGGGGGGAACCCAGAAAAGGCAAGTCGTCAGTTGTTTTCCACTTGGCCCACCCACATCCAGAAAAAGATATATGAGGATTAGGGCGAGAGAGAGAGACAGGGAGAGAGACAGAGAGAGAAAGAGAGAAAGAGAGCGGTGTAGATGACCACCAGCCCGTAATTTGGCACACACACGCACAAGAACCCCAGAAGAAATCCTAGTGGTTTGTGTGTTTGGGTAGGGAGAGAGAGAGCGAGAGAGAGAGAGCGACAGAGAGAGGGGTAGAGCGCGAGAGAGGTTTAGAAAAAAACGCGCTTCCGCGCTGGTGGACAGACACGCGGAACGCCCGCGGGGGATATCCGTGTCAACAAATAACATCATGGCTTCTCGAGGACCTCAAGAGGGTCAAGAGGACTGTCGCGGAAAACAGAAAATCTCGAAAGATCGTTTCCTTTTTTGTCGTAACTAAGCAAAAGAGAGAAAGAGAGACAGAGAGAGAGAGAGAGAGAGAGAGAGAGAGAGAGAGAGATATTTATCAAATGTACAAAACCGTACTTCGAAGGAACGAACCCGATTGTGAAGCCCAAAAATCTCGTGGAACGTCTCCTCTAAAAATAGCTCCAGGCGCCACCCCCACGGGGGGGGCGGTGATAATAATTAGTGGCGTGGCCGGAATTTGTTGGCGCCTATGATAAACAAATCCGGATTCCGAAAAGTTAATGTTCTGAAAACCGAAAAAATGAATTAAACTTGTTTAGGAGAGAGAGCGAGGGAGAGAGAGAGAGAGAGAGCGAGAGAGAGAGCGAGAGAGAGAGAGAAAGATACCGCATTTTGAGCGGCCATGAAAATAATAAAGCGAAAATCCCACCACGGCTTTCACATATTTTTTGGGCTATCATTTTCAATTTCGCCCATCCAGCCGAACGTGAAAATCGTATAGCTGAAAGATGAGCGGCGGGCGGAAGCGCGGGATGGATTTTGGGCAAATTTTGGGGGTCCGCTTCCCCTAGCGACTCTAGCACATAGTAGCCGTTTTTGAGCTGTGGGAGAGTTTTTGATGAGCCAGAAATGAATAAAATAGGTCATTGCGGTGTGTTTTAAGAAACGTTTAATTTACAAAATTGAAGATGGCACGGCAGTATTCATAGAAATCCAAGAAACTTCTATTTTCATGTCCCGCCATATCCTATAGAAGGCCTAGGCGGCCGCTATCCGTGGACGCGTTACCTGCGCGTTGCGAAGAAGGGCCATAAAAGGCCAACAACGCTGCTGTCACGCTCCCTTTAAAACGAAAATGGCTTCCTTGGGCCCGTCATGAATTCCCGACTAATAATTCTCTCCAGGAGTGTCACCGGCCGAACCGTTCGCCCATTCTGGAACGAGAGTGAGAGAGAGAGAGAGAGAGAAGGAGAGAGAGAGCGAGAGAGAGAGCGAGAGAGGGAGAGAAAGAGGAGGCGAAGAGAGCACGATCACGAAAACCGGTCCATTAACGGAATGGGTCCCCGGCCGACGACACGGAAGGTGGCGCTGACAAATCGTCTGATCCCGCGTTGAGTTGGCCCCAAGAATGGGCAGATTGCCTCGCCAAAAATGGCCATAGGAAGGCCACGTTCCACTCGCTGTTTTTCACGATTTTTGAGGGTTATTTTCGACGGATCACCATTTTGGTAGATTTGCTATACGAATGTCTATGAAAATACGCTTTTTTTCTAAAGCGATTTGGAAGCATCTAGTCGGAAGAAGGGGTCGATTCTCGCGCTTAGTTCCCTAGTTCCTTTAAACCGTCGTTGTGGGCAAAGTCTGTGCAAGATAAATCGACCATAGGCAGCTGAGAAAGCCATGGGTCGAAAGGTCAGCTTCAAGGAATCTATGGCGCTAAAAAAATGGGCCAACAAGCCCTAGACTAGCCATCTGGTTCCAATTTGTCCTGGAAGAGAAAGCGGGGCACACTGGCTCGATGGACTTTGGCTGGACTTTGGAAAAGTTTAGGAACAAAGAAAGTTGTCTTTAGTTTTGAAGTCTGGAAAATCATTAAAGGTACTTCGAAGGCAAAGGTCTAATGCCTCAATGAATCGAACTGATTACGTCATGAAACAAGCCTGCGAAGCAAATTTGCGTGGGAAATACGCACCACGTGTTCGGCGATAAGGTGACTATGAGGTCGGCCGGTCGATTTTTCCTTTCCTTTTGCATTGATTTAAAAGGTTTGAATTTTCTAACGTAAGCGGTTCAGCTCGAGAATCTGCGAAATTGCGTCTTCTGCGCGCCTTCCAGCCCATTTTTTAATTGCAAAGAAAATTAGCAAAATATTCTATGGAAAGCTATCAAAACACCACAGATTCAAGGCCTTAAAGAATAAGATTCCGTGATGCACCTCAGAACGCTGAGTCATACGGTAATCCGGAAATCCGCCAAGTACGCCAAGTATGTATTAAATAAACCAGGTAAAAAAGGAAACACTATACATTTTAAGCTCAAGAACGCCGGAAGCACTCAACAAATTTCCGGCTTACATTTATGCCAATTTCTGAAAAAAACAGCCGGATATGGTAGTTCAGTTGGATACGCTGTATACGGTTGCATACGGCAATATACGGTACCTCGCGTAAATTGTAGCGTACCGGAACACGTAAGAGGCATGGAGCTTCAACCACAAAATCCGTCCGAAATGATCCGAAAACAAGCGCTAAACACCCTATACCTCACACGTGTGGATGGTAGCGTACTGGAACTCGCGCGGAAAATAACGCCACCAGCCACAAAATAATTTTGCGAAAACAAGCGCTAAACTTGTATACACAACACGTGCGCGTGGGGGGTCAGTACGAACTTTCCAAATTGCTCCTATAGCCGGGGGTCGTCCAGATGTCGCAGTGGGGGGGCAGTGACTAGTTTACGGCCTTTCTTATGACCATTGTACAATTCGGAAGAAAGTCAATTAGGCCGGTTTTGGAAGATTACTTAAATAAATGAAAAAGAATTGTCAAAATCAACCCCTTGCCTCGACTAGGTCTAGACATTTGCCTATAAATATGCGTGTATGTGTTTTGGCATGTCGCGTAACTGTCGAGACCTAGTCGGGATAAGGGGTATATTTTGATACTTCCTAGAACCTTTAAGGGGGCGGGAACACTGTGCGGCAGGATTTGTAATCTATGCCCAGAAAAATTGATAGCATTGTATTGCCAGTCCCTTTAAAATCTTTAGAAAATCCTTAAGTAGCAAGCTATATCGGAATGCCTTGTAAGCGCCTTTAAATGATATTTTTTAAGGTATGTTTTAGCCAAACCGAAGAAGGGCCGCGAAACGTAGTAATTGTTTCGATAGCCAGGTTGAGGTCCCGGATGGGTCGTGCAAAACGACGAGCTTTCTCTCTCTTTCTCTCTTTCTCTCTCTCTCTCTCGCTCTCTCTCTCTCTCGCTCTCTCTCACTCTCTGCCTAGTTGTAATGCTACGAGGTGGACACCTCGTTTTTCCGCGGGTTTTTTCTAGCGGCTGTCAGCCCGTGGGGAACATCACTCCATTTCTCTTTATAGCGGTCACTCGATCATACCTGCAGGGGATTTCCGTTCTGCTTAAACTGTGCTGCGAAAAAGTTTGTACTGACATTTGAGACCAGGTCAGCGAGGTAGACCTCCTCGGCTGTATTACTACACTGGTCCACAGAATTATGGATTCACCCAAAATTTTCCGAAATCTCACTATTTCTGTACTTCATCGAAACGTAGCTCCAATGGCTAGGCGCCAGAATCGATCCCTTCAACCCGCTAGGTCTCGACCACTATGTCATACCCCAAAACACGAGTTACAAGTTACCTGGTTTATGTTCGCCCACATGAACTCTGATAAAAGGTGCAAAAGTCGCCTTTCTTGCGTCATTTAGGCGTAGGCGTGGTTGTCGAGAGCCAGTGGACCGAAGAGATCGAATTGCCAGCTTCCCAGCCCCTTTAAATTCATGCTGTCCTACGCAAATTTAAAAAACTAAATTCGGGAAAAAATAGAACGAGAGAAGAGAGAGAGAGAGAGAGAGCAAGAAAGTGCGAGGGAGAGACACGACCGCGGCGCGTAAGCTGTCGAAATTTTTTTTCAAGCCTTCTCGTCTCCCTTTTATCAATTTTGACGATGAGCAATTTTCCAAATAGAAGTTACAGCACCCTTTTACAACCTTTATTACACACACAATTAAAAACAAACTCCCATTAATGCGCCATGCGCCATACAATTTAACAAATAAAGCACGAGGAAGGGTACACTACAAACGAATCGAATCGAAAATCGGTCAAAATAATAATTCGATTTCCTAATTTTCGATATAATTTTTCGGTGAGCAATTAATCAATAGACTTTTGTAATAGGGCAATACAGTGTGACCGGTATTAATTTAGAGCTGCCAAAGAAAGTTTGTGAAAGCACGAAAATATCAAAGGAAAATCAAGGCCATGGCATGAGGTGGGGTCGGAATCGGAATATCCTCAAGAATCTTCCAGACAAAAAAATACTGACAATCGAATAGTAAAATCCTAGAATTCAAAAAATAAATTCATGCCTAACCATAAAAAAGCGAAAAAAAAGCGAAAAATCAGAACTTCTTGACGTCGAGGAGTCTGGCGGCCTTCTGGAGGGCGGCGGGTTGGCGGCGTGCGATCGCGTTTTTCGTGTCCTTGTTTTTCAGCAGGGCTTGAACGACTTCACGATAGGATGCCTGAAAATCGCAACTTTAATTTAGGGATTTCTTTTCACATTATTATAACACTTCCATAATTTTACTAATTTTTTGTATCCTCTTTTATCTTTTTCCATTTCATTTTCTTATAAACTTAAAACCGGGGCTAAAATTGAGGCTTTTTGATAATCGCTGTGAATAAATTTTATGAATAAAAAAAGCAAAAAAAGAGAATAATTTTATGAAAGAAGGAAAGAAAGAATAAGAAAAAAAGAAAATAGTGAAAGATATGGAGAGAGCGAGAGAAAGGAGAGAGAGAGAGAGAAAGAGAGAGAGAGAGAGCGAGAGAGAGAAACAAATCTTTGGAATCCAAAATCTACTCACATACTGCTCCGCCTCGTCGCGCGGATCGTTGCTGTTCGGGGTGTCGCCGCGGTTCAACTGAAAAATCGGTTTTTCGAGGCAAATTTGCTGTCACTAGCCCTTGAAAGCCACAAAAAAAACAAAAATTTACCTCAGAAGTGGGACTCGACAGCAACGACAAGTTGTCAAACGTTGATCCGGAACTAAAAAAAAATTAATAAAAAATCAAAAGCTCTCTCACCGATCATCCCGCGGCACCTCCAATTCCTGCTCCTTTTCCGCGACTTTACTATGCACAATCCACTCAATCGTCGTCTCCGAGTTCGGGGCCGCCTTGATCACGACCGCGATTTCGTCCTGCGGGGCCAGGTCTTCGTCCTAGAAAATGCGCCTGATTGAAACCAAATTTTTACTTTATTTCAATTGATTTTTATATTGTAGATTTTATTTAATAGCTTTAATTTCATAAATTCAAACTAAACAACTTTATTTAATGGCTATAATTAACCAAATTAATTAATTATCTATTTAAGAATAAAATTTAGCTATCTAAAACACAAAAACTGACCTCCAAAACGTCATTTTTATCCCAGAACTCGCCGAAGAAGCCGTCGGCGTCTTCAAGAACGACGACGCGAGTCCTTTCATACGGCCGATAGGCAGCGACTAGGGCTTTTCGAATGAGGAACTGAAAATGAGGTATTAAAATATTAAAATAGCGTAATGGAAAAAGTGTTGTTCACTTTTTAATAACGATGTTTTAGCTCCCTTAATTTTGGACAAGTTTAGAGGAAATTCGGCCATAATCCCGACATCCCGAAATTTCGATAGCTAAAATACCGACAACCTGATTTCCGAGAGCAAAAAATTCCGACATGCCAAAATTCGGGCACATTCTTGATGTTAGTTTAATGGCCACTTTCTCTAATATTTCGGAAATTTTCATGGCGGAATTTTTGCCGGCGGCGTTTTGGCTGTCCGCATGTTCGCTATCGGGAATTTAGCACGTCCGGATTTTGGTTGTTTGAAAGTCGGGATTTTGGCCGTCAAATTTCGGCATTTTTCGAGTACAAAGACCTAATTCCGGCCTTTGCAGTACCTTTCATACCAAAAGCCAAGCTTAGCCTTAGCTAGGCGATAAATAGTACGAAAATAAATAAACAAAATGCCGTATACAAAGGAACTCGTGGAGCGTTGATAATGCAAACTATAATAATCCATAAATTTCGTAATTCGTAGCACAGCGTACTCACCATGGCCGCCTGACCTTCGACTTGGGGTGCGATATCATAGGCCTTTTCGGTGGGCAAAAATCCGTTGACCTGCCACTCGTACGTCATCTTCTTGCCGCACAGGGGCTTCTCGAGTTTTCTAAAAAATTTGGATGAGATAAATCGTATTATCAGTTCTTTAAAAATTCAAAAAAAAAAATAAAAATATACCAAGCAAAAAACGTAGTTAAACGTACTCGATAAAGCCGTCGATAAACACGCCCAGCTCCAGCGCCTTCTTTTTCGTGTCGTGCAGCGCCAGGCGGCCGTCCTTCAGCCAAATGATACGGTAGGTGCCCCAGGACTTGATGCAGAGACCTGGAAGGGAATGTTGGATTTTTAGGGGACCTGGAAGGGATGGATATGGATTCTTTGGCTATGGATTTCCGCCGATTTTCCTGTGCGCCGCGATACGCAATGCGTTCTCTACTTGGCCGCCATTTAGGATCGTAATCGATTACGTCATCGAAAAACGGATGCGCGCGTTGCGTGTCGCGGCGCCGCAATTTTCCTAAGAAATTTATCCGCTCCGCTACACGCAACGCGCGCATCTCGTGAGCGTATTAAAAACGCGGTAACCAATTACGCAATAGCAGGGCGCACGCGTTGCGTGTCGCGCCGCGCAAAATACCGATAATTTTCACAGCCGCAAAATCCATAGCTTTTTCGAAAAAAATTACCTGGCACCGGAATCTCGGGCCCGGCATATTCTCGACTGTCGTTGTGGCTGGTTGTAAATTGGCTGTGTCGGCTTAGAGAGTCTAAAAGGGGTATTTAAATCCGAAAATGAACGCCTACCAGCTTGTAGTGAACTGCTCTCCGGCGGTGCTTTTCGAGAAGTTGAACGGTACTTATCCCAGGCAGGTAAATCTAAAATTTTTTTAATCACTGAAAACAAAGGCGGAAAGCCATACCATCAACTCTCGATCGATTTCGGGATTCCGGCGGGCTTGGCCGGTATTCATCGAAGCCTAAAAATTGTAAGAATAATTGTGATAAACTTTTACAAATCAGTTAATTTAACTAATTAATTGAAAAATATTACTATTCATCGAGCCATCTCTGGGCAGAGGGCGTGTTGAGGGTCCTGGCACGGGGAGGGCGCCGGAAAGTGAGGGAGCTACTGAAAATTGATAATTTTTGCTTCTTTCTTCTTTTGCTTTACTTCTTTTGCTGTTAAAAAAGCGCTTAAAAGCAAGGATTTTTCTTTCCTAATGATAAAGAATCGTAAACCTAAAAAATAACAGAATTTTTCTAAGTTTTGTTAGTATGGACAAGGCCCTCAAAAAATTCTAGAATTTCTGGTTCAAACAGCTAATTTTGCGCATTAAAGCTACCTATTTTGCATTCGAAAAATTGCTCCATTTAAACAACTTTTTCCTCATAAGCGATTTATCTTGTAAAAGAATTTTTTAGTTTTAAAAACCCACCCATCGCACTGGGCCTGGGCTCCGGACGTGGCAAACCGGCCGGGATCGGAAAATCGAACGAGGCGGGTTCTAAAATGACGGTAATTTACGAAATTTAGATATAAACAAACCATCCAGCGGTGGTGGCGTGTCGACGAGTTCTGGGGCTAAAATGGAGAAATTCACGTCTGAACAAAAATTCGAAAATACCAGCATCAACAGCAGAGGCATCTCGTGGATAAACGCTCCCATTTCCAAGGCTGAGGTTTTCCGGGCGGCGCGAAACCTAAAAAAGAAGGTTAGTGTTCAACAAAAACTTCCTATACCTGCGCTCCTCCGCCTATCTCGTATTCGGGCTGTTTATATGGTCGTTCAACTCGGAAATCGCGAGGATCGCGAGAGTCACCGGACTAAAAGATGTGAATTATTTTACGATTTTGCCGATATTGCGCAATTTATATTAAATTAAACATTTAACTTTAGAAAATAATACCAATGGTCTTTCAAGTCGGTGAAAATCGCGCTCGATCGGCCGGCCATTACTACGGGCATTCGGAAGATCATGTGGGGGTGGTGGTGCCTAAATACGTCCTTATTTTTCTGTGGCCAGAAAAACAATAAATCTACAAAAAATAAAAATCATAGCAAAACATTCAAAATCCTACAATAAAAAAAATTGAAATTAAAATAACGTTAAACTGTTTGTATAAACCTAAATTACCTGGCTCCTCTCAATCGGCTCCCGGTCCAGACTTTCGATGGCAATCCAGCCATTTTCTTCGCGTCCGGGTATCCGGGCACAAACCACGGCGAATGTGAACCGAGTATTTAAGAGGTACTCTTGGTTGAAGCCCTAAATAAATAGCTATACTTAAATTTAAATTTCAAAACAAACCCGATTCCGAAGCGAGAGCCGGTTGGGGTCGTAGATTTTGGGCATGTATCGATTCGAAAAGACGTTCAAGTCGTCATCCACTTGCAGAAAGTAGGCGGGCACGCGGAACTAAAAAAAAATACTATCTCTTTTTTTATAAATAGGAGATTAGATTTAGCTACTATACTATCATTCGGTGGTAAATAATAAAGCATTTTTAATCGAAATTTGCGCTTTATGTGCTCGTTTTCCCATTTTCGACCAACCTGAGCAACTCCCGAGCGCTTCAACGGCATCCTCCCAAATCCGGCATCGAAATCCCGCCGTCGACAAGCGTACATTTGACGCTGAAGATTACCGCGCACGATTTTTGGCGGACTAAATTCCTGATTAATCTTTGAAAAGTGAAACTCACCCGACTTCGCACTCGACAAAATCGCCCACCTCCACGTCGATGCCCCACTTTTCCAGGAATTTCGCGCTGAAAATGGCTTGGTTTCGCAGGAAAGCCAAATTTTGGTTCTTCAGGCCTAGTAAATAGTCAGACTCACTGCACAACACTCTCATGCCCATCCTCGAGGCCGAAAAACATGAGGTCGTGGCTGAAGTTGAGCACGAACCCGCACATTCGCTCCGTTTTCTCCGGTTCCGGGGTCTAAAAACTTTGTTACAAAAAGAAGTAAAAAGGCTACCGGGGTTCTATTCGGTTCTGGCCTTAGCTGACGCTGGTTTTGAGCCGAAAGAGGTCGAGACGAGGATGCCTAGAACCTGGATGTCGAAAAAAAAGCTCGAAATACCTGCGGCTCGCCATCTGGAAGGCGTGTTTCGATGGCTTCAACCTAAATTCACGTTATTAGCGTTATTACTACATTTTTATATATTTAACTAGGATTTTATATTAATCTTTTCAACATAAAAACTACGAGCAGACCACGAAAAAAACATAAAAGTACAAAATTCCACCCTACCATCCACCCATTCTCGTACGTGTCCAAATCCTTCGGCCTTCGTATTCTCAAAACATGCCTTTGGCCGATGGCAAATTTCTGGAAGAAAAAGTAGAAGTTTTTCAGCTTATTTTCTTACGTATTGTATTCGCTGCTGATCAACGCAAATTCCAAAGTGCGGCTCCTCGAAAACGGTGTAGCCCTTGCCGATTTCCGTGACGCGAGCCGGAACACGGTACTAAAAGATAAACCAAATCTAGAAAACAACCGGCTACTTACGCAGCAATAGTTGTCCCTTAAAATCGGCTCGATCGACGCGGGCAGTGGAAGAACCTGAACAATGTAGTTTTCGGAAGAAAACAGTGTTTCAAGCAATTTCTCGTTGTGTTTTTTGTTCTAACGTCGGCCATAAATCTTACAACTTGCTACTAATATTAAAGCTATTAACCTAACTTTAATTTAGATCAAAAACAGCCTATATAAATAGAAAAGACTCACTTCATATTCAGCCACCGCACCCTTGTTCGCCTGGCTCTCACCGTCGAAAAACCTAAATTTAGTGTAAAATGCTTGATCTGAAGAAAGTTACTTTATGCGACATCTCAAGTAATTGCCCAAATCCGGCGTTTTATTGCCGAGGTTTATCGAAGTCGGCGTGAGCACGAAGTCGCCGTGTTTGGTGGCGATGAACATCGTGTGGGTGGTGCGGCCGGAGGGGAACCCGTCGACCCAGTCGTCCATCAGACGGCCCTTCCGGCTCCATGGCTGAAAAAGTTGTGATAATTTTGTAAATGACGACTTACGCAATGTAAAACGAGCTCCTCGAGCCGAGCCGGTTTCTGCGCGTACCCGACTTCTTGCGGGTTGAGGTGAAAATTTTCAGTGGCGGCATGCCTGGAAGTGGAAAGGTTGGTTGATTTATTTAGTTTTGTACATAAAGTCCAAAAAACCCTGTCCTTTGAATCCTATGATGTAAATAAAGCATTTTATTTTGTTTTAGTACCTTTTTGTGATCTTTTAAGTAGACGCTTTTCAGAACGTTAGAGCAAATCTTTAGAAATTTGGCTAAAAAATGCAGTTTCGACCTAAAATATAACTTGTTAATTGCAATTTCTAACGTTTCGACATTTCGCAGTAGCCAAAATATTCTATTAGATTTAAGTACACTTTTTATTGCTATAAAAACCTATCTCCGCGCAAAAAAAACGATATTTTGCTTTTACGTTTAAGATTGTTAACTCACCACGTCACCCAGCCTTCAAACGGGATGCCCGGGTCAAAATAGGGGCTGTCCCAGAAGTCGTCGAGCATCTCCTGACTCAACGAAACCCGGCCGACGACCGTTGAGAAGACCGACGCGCTCGTCCAACCGATGGAAGCCATTTGTTCGGCTGAGGGGATCATCAAGACGGAGAGCATCTAAAGTACGTTATATGCTTTATTTTAGCCCCAAAATAACTTACCGAAATTCCTCCTTTTCTCATGCTGACTGGAAAGCCGCCGGGCGTCTTTCCGGCGATCGTGAAGCTCGTCACGACGCCGTTTCTAAAATTTAAATAACATTTTTAAGCGTTTAAATTATTACCTCGACTCGAAGTTTGTCCATTTTCCGACATATTCCTGGGCCAGCTCGAGTAGTTCATCATCGTCGAACGAGAATAGCCCACCGCAACGTGCCCATATTTTCAGGTATCCGTTCTTGTCCGGGAGCACCAATCCCAGGATCATAGGGCTTCTGAAAAAAAAAATTGGTTGCGAGCTTCCCAAGAAAACAAGGCCGCAAAAAACAGCAAAATCAATATTTATAATCAAAAGATCTAACTTTAGACCACAAGCTACAAATGATCAAAACACGCGGAACGTTTCCGGTGTCAACTTCGTGTAAGTTGTAGTCAAAGCTAAGCTTTTGTAGCATAAAGCGGTGAAATTCTAACTCGGCACAAAATAAACCAGAAAACTTGCTTTTACCGATCCGGAAACTGATCTATTTTTGTAAAAGTTTATCCAGACAACAAGGATTTTTCTTTAGACTCCAAACTACCAATTGCAACAAACTCAAAACATAAAAAAAACGCGGAAAACGATTCTTGCGTAAAATTTGTGTATTTTGTAGTCAAAAGTGAAGCTTTTGTAGCTTAAAAATGTGTGCTTCAGCCATCCCAACTAAATTAGCCAAGAAAACTTGCTTTTCATTGAGGTAACCGTGCTGCCAACGGGGATTTAGCGCCTTACGGGTCGTAACTCGGATTTAGTATACGGTAAAGCGTCTTAGGAGACAAAAAGGGTTTCGAAAAGATGCGGAAAAGTGTTTCGCGAAGGGATAATCTTTTCTAACCATGTGGTTCGCTTACGCGACTTATTTCAGGGCATTGCATCGAACCTGGGAGAGCGAGGGATAGGGCAATTAGAGGGTGGCGCAGAGAAATGCCGTTTTTCCATTGTCGGGTCAAGTGCTCGCACAGCTGGATAGACATTGCCAAATCGGGGCATGGGTAGGGCAATGTTGGACCGGATTGGTTACTAAGCACTTATAAAAATAGTAAAGAATTAATTTTGTGCGGGAAACATCCAAATACGGGAATTTACGCGTAAAATGTGGAAAGAAATAAGTTTAATGATGAATTTAATTAAATTATAACTGGTTTTTAAAATGCCTAAAATTGTGGGTTAATTGTGAAAGTCAAAAGTCAACTGCGAGATCACCATTTTTAGAAGATTTCTGCTGCATGGAAACTTTAGTTTTTCAGGGAAAACTGAAACTGAGCTATATCTATATTCCTTTTAGTAAGCAAAAAAAAAAGGGTTTGCAGATTATAATTTCGGTGACGCGTAAAAATGCGGGTCATCGGCTACCGAAAGATCCATCGATCGTCCAGCATCCAAATGCGTTTCCGGTTTTTATGATGGGAAAAGCTGCAAGGGAAATAACCTCCGATTAATGGGTACAATTCGGATAAGCGGGGGGGGGAAATTTTAGGCGGGGGGGAAACCGAACTTTTTTCCGCCCAAGCCTATATTTTTTATATAAATAGTGTAAGTGCTTCTAAATTGTTTATAGCTATTCCTAAACATAAAAACTTTACAAAATTTAATTAAAAAATTTAATTTTAGGTCGAAAAATCGTTTTTCGGCCCAAAAATGACCAAATTTTCGACTTTTTCAAGCGTTTTTCTAACTTTTTAAAAAGTTTTTCCGATTCAAATAGGCTGAAATTTTGCTAAAAACAATGTGAAAACAGTTTATATTTGATTACTATCCCCACCAGGGCCGACAAAAAAAAAGTTGGTTTCCCCCCCGCCTAAAATTTTCCCCCCCCGCTTATCCGAGTTGTACCGATTAATGTTACAACTATAAAAAAGCCGTTGAAAATAAAAAAATTTCGATTAGTGTCTTTTTTATCGAAAAATAAGTAAAGAAGAAAATGCAAACAAAGATTTGTGGTTTGATCATTCTAAAAAGATCAGAAAAACGTGATCCATTGATTTTCTAGTTCCTAAAATATGGCGATACCATTTTTTTTTTCACAAAAACTTTTGTAATGATTTTTTCACCGTGTTCACGGGGGATTTTCTCACGACTATGGGCTTTCAACTCCAGAATCTTTAGATTCTTTCTAGCTCCTTCGACGCCACGACGAATCCGCCAGGTTCAGCACCATTCCGTCATTCCGGAAAATTCTGCAGCCCCCACCTACCCGTTATAGGCATCTTTGATGCCAGCAGCAAATATTTTTCTCAACTTTCGAGCCCGGCGGTTGCTAAAAAAAGTGGGGATTCCCCTGATAAGGTGAAAACCCGTGGTCAACTGCCAGAAGAAATCTCGACTGCACGTTGTCGCCACGTGCCGTTCGCTGAGTGACTTATAAAGAGCGGCGGTTCGCGGTAAAAGTACACATTTTTTGTTCTTTCAAGCTAGGCAGTGACCGATTTTGGGGGCTGATTGTTCCGTTTGGCGAATAGCCGATGATAGGTTTGGGTGGGCTTGATAAAAAGCAGCTGGTTTTGGGCTAGCCATCTCCAGATCATGCTTCAATTGTTTCATTTCTTAGTTTTTCATAATACCAGCTGATTTTTACGTCTTAAAATCAGATATTAAATTTATTTATAGTATTTAAGGTATATTTTTGATCGGCCTTACAGGAGTTTGCTAGAAAAAACATCCATACGTTTTTCGCTTTTCGGTTCATGAGTTTATCCCATGATTGTAGTTTTAAGGCGTCAGCTATACGCATTAGGGCTTAGTCATTATTTTTAGGGCATATTTTAGTCGACCAATGCGTTTTCTATAAATACTCGTTCGTCAGCACAAATTTGGCAGCATTTTATACTAGTTCGGTACGGAAACGGTCGTGAAAATATGGCTCAAACCCTGCCCACCAGTTTATTAATGTGTTTTATGTTTTTTGGTGCGTTTTGAATTGCTAAACTTTTAAAGAACTTGCAAGAGCCTTTTGAAACGTACTGATATTCTTCAAAATGTTTTTTTTCTATCAGCTAGAAATCCATCGAAGATACGGTATCTCCCTCCGGATCCTAAAAAATGTCTTTTCGACTAGTTTGAAAGTCTCTTAAATACCTGTTAATTGGTTCTTTCGTGGAGCTTTCATGATTTTTTTACTCTGATTGGGATTTTGCGCCCAAACCCCGGAATTTCCCAGCACTTCCGGCAGCGCTGATCGGGTGATATTAGCTGGCGGATTCGCTGATCTCCTTTTCATCAGTTCCTCCGAGTTCTCGAGACTTCCCCTTCAAAAAAAGGACAGTTCTCTCTCTCTCTCTCTCTCTCTCTCTCTCTCTCTCTCGCTCCCTCTCTTTCTCTCTCTTTCTCTCTCTCTCTCTCTCTCTCTCTCTCTCTCTCGCTCTCTCTTTCTCGCTCTCGCTCTCTCGTCCTGGATGAGTCTTACCGCGAAAATCCTCCCCCCAATCCATCCAATTTCCACCGTTCCGCCCCTCCCCCCCCATATTATCAGGCTCGATTGTTTTGGTGGAAGTCCAGTGTTTGCCATATATTTTTGCAAGGCTATCAGACAGTCCTTCTGATTGCTAGTCGTCAACAACCCGTTGCACTGTTTTGAGATTTTTCCACTTTTTACTAATGACGCAGAGGTCTTTTTACTATTTAAATGTTTTCCACCATTGCTGGTTTTGGTTCTTTCGCATTATCGGGGGAAAGGGCGTTTTTTTGGAATTCTGGAAATGCCTAGTGGCTTAACCGAGAGTTTTTGGTAGTGTTTTTGCTGAAATATAACTCTATTTCAGCTAGAGAACAATCCAAAAAGCTAGAAAATCTGTTTAAAAATCGTGGTTTTGGTTAAAAAGCGGCCATTTTGGTCGAAAAATCGATTTCTTTCGTAATGTTTTTACGAATTACCTACCTAATTACCTATTTCTTAATTACAAAACGGATTTTAACTCTAAATTTGTCTTTCTTCTTTAACCTTTTCAATTTCAATCTCAATCTCAACCCAAAATTTTTAATCAACCACCCTTTTCCTATTCGGGGCAATTTTAAAAACAAATTCATAGCTTTTTTATATTTCTAAAGTCAGTTAAACTTTCTTTCAGCCTGGACATCGACAAGAAGCCAAAAAAAATATGAAAAGCTTTGCCCTTCTTTCGTTCGTCTTCCTATTTGTTGCCCTCGATGCTGCAGTGGTATGTTTTGGCATAAAAATATAGACGAGATCAAATTCCAGCTAAAACAATCTCTAACCTGCAAGGCTTGCATAAAAATGGTGGACCGAGTACGAAGGCTGCTTGATGATGGCGGCGATTTTCATCAGGTAAGCGGTTGCCTTGTGTGTACCTTTAAGACCACTAGAAAACGATAAAATCCACCCTTTCGATCAATTAGGTCTAGACAACTACGCGCCACGCCAAAACACGTTAAAATGCTCGTGAAATTTAGCTTTTATCACCTAGAAGTTTGACTCGGGAGAAAAATACAATCGTGTTTTGAAGCGTCATTTGGTGCTTATCGTAGCTGTCGAGACCTAGTGAAAAGAAGGGTATATTCTAGCGCTTTTTCGTACCGTTAAATTTATTTTTCAAGCTTTTATTTTCCTTTCAGACATGTCTCGCCTCCTGTATGAAAAGCCTTGACAAAGTTGCGCCAATCTGCAACTACTTGAGCGAGTACGAGGACTCGTTGCTCGAAGAATTGGAGGAGGGCGAGAGCTCCAGGTACGGACTTTGCATTTTTTCACCTTGATTGTCTACCTTAAGTCGAAATCTACGCCTAACATGTAGAGGTTGTCAGGTCACAAGCTCCAAACCGGCTGAAAATTGCTGGAAAAATCAAATAAAATACGGGGAACACGATGTTATAAAAATTATCTGCTAATGGGCACTTTTGTTTAATAAACTTTTAATTTTAAGTAAGAAAAATGAAGGTAAAATGAACTTTCAGCGGATTAACCGGGCTTTCCGTCTCGGAATAAATGTTTCGATCGAATTGTCACGGAAAGTATGACACTAGGTACCTTCCCACACCCGGAAAAAATTTTATTTGAAAAAATTTGTAAGACACTGTAAGACTGTAAGAAAAAAGACACTGTAAGAGCTCGCGCCTGCGTGCCCCGGTCCTGGTCAGGCTCCCTGCGATTCTAGGTGGGTTTTCCATACAAAATCTTAAAATTAAAAGTTTATTAAACAAAAGTGCCCATTAGCAGATAATTTTTATAGCATCGTGTTCCCCTTATTTTATTTGATTCTTCCAGCAATTTTCAGCCGGTTTGGAGCTTGTGACCTGACAACCTCTACATGTAAGCCTAAGGCAAGCCCAAGCCTAACTAGGGAATGGTTTCGGGCGGACATCGGACCTAGATATGTGAGTATGTGCATCTTGTAGATCTCGACGAGACGAATCGATTGATGTGACTTTTAGCTGCCAACGCCTTTCAATAAAAAAGTTACAACGATTTGAAGTTTTCTGGCATGGCTTCATAAGCCCTCACGGCAACCCCGTCACCGTGGTCCAGTGGCCTAGCGGTGTAGTAGTCAGCGTCCGGGGAATCTAATGAGGGTTCGAACCCGCTCACGATTTTTATTTTTTGCTTTTTTGTCCGAAGCTTCCTCATTGCATTCTGAAGGCCGTGAATAACTTTTTGTACATTATTTATACACCAAGAAACGTTCCTAACGATAATACAGCTTCGGGCGAAAAATTAATTTTTTGATCCTGTTGGCTGCTGCCTGGCTCATGCATCGAAAATGTTTTGGAGGAGCGGTCAAAATTGTGGTCACGTTTCTTACAACGTCGTAGCGTACCCCAAGTTCCATGACAAATATTTTATTTTCTCCTGAACTAGCCCTACTATGGTTACGTTACCAATTTCCAAATTTTCGCAAAAAAATTTTGTTTGTATCGCTAGGAACGTTTCTTGGTGTATAAATAATGTACAAAAGTTATTCACGGCCTTCAGAATGCAATGAGGAAGCTTCGGAGAAAAACGCAAAAATAAAAATCGTGAGCGGGTTCGAACCCTCATTAGATTCCCCGGACGCTGACTACTACACCGCTAGGCCACTGGACCACGGTGACGGGGTTGCCGTGAGGGCTTATGAAGCCATGCCAGAAAACTTTAAATCGTTGTAACTTTTTTATTGAAAGGCGTTGGCAGCTAAAAGTTACATCAATCGATTCGTCTCGTCGAGATCTACAAGATGCACATACTCACATATCTAGGTCCGATGTCCGCCCGAAACCATTCCCTAGTAAGTTCAGCCTAATCTACACCTAAGCCTAAACCTATAAGCCTAAGCCAAGTCTATGCCTAAGCCTAGGTCTAAGCCTGAACCCAAGCCTAAGCTCGCCCTAAAAAAACCGAGAAAAAGCCTAAAGAAGCTTAAAATCAATTTCAGAAATATTTGTGGACCTGCCCTGTTCAACCTCTGCTTCCTCGACGACCGGAAACACAACCGGGAAAATTATTAAAAAGGTTCCTCTCTCTCGCTCTTTCTGTCTCTCTCACTCCCTCTATATCTCTAACCATTTTTCATGTCTAATTTAAGCCCAGACAATTGGTCCTGGACCATGCCATCCCCACGTGAACGACAGACTCCCCAATTTAGCGAGTGTCCTTTGGAGTGTACTGGAAATGTGAAATTTCCCCGTTTCTCCCCTCGATATTTCTCTGATCTCATGACGCACCCCCGGTGTTCGGGGGTATTTTGATAAAGATGATGATATTAATAAAAATGACCGAAATGGTAGCAACCTAATAAAAACTCGAGTGAAACTCTAAATGCAGAGGGATACGTTCGAAAACAACGTATGAGATACGGGGAATCCAATAAAAAACGTACAAAGATAAGATACGCTAATTTAAGCGAGTAAAGAAAAGAAATAAACGAGAAAATAGATAATTTTATTAAAAACGTCAAAAGCGTCAAATGATGGATTTCTATATACTATACATATTTTTAATAGGTACAGTAGCGGACAAAAGTATTGGGATTTTTTATTTTTGACAAAATCTCGGGAGATTTAACACGAGGTGAGCTCAAAAGTCGGTCCCTAGTAGAATTCAAGATGCTTTTTCATATGCAATGCGTTAAAACCGGCCACTCTATAGTACAAGAAAATTAGGAGAAAATTTCAAAAAGCTCGACGACAAAAGTATTGGGATTTTTCTTTTTGAAGCCTAGAAAACGAGCAGGTAACCTTGTAGAGCTCTTTTATTGATGCAAAGGCGCCAACAACAGTTGAAACTTGCTTTTCTCATAGGCGATTTCATCCCGGAAACGCTGAGGAATTTTTTGAAAATCTCGATTTTACTATGAAAATTTGCTTTTTTGCCTCTAACTCTTTGAATATAGTTTTAATGCCGGTTTGCTCTATATATTCGGATAGAGCAGCTTAAGACGAGCATTTCGATATGCTATAGTCACTAGGAAACACGCCCCTCGCAGAGTTACGTAGGGCCTAATCTTTCAGTCGGCGGCGTCCGTAGGAAAATGGGGGCCCTATCTATGGCAAGGACGCCCAAACCCCCGTGCACAGAACTGGGCCGTCTCTATCTGCCGGGGCATGGCGAAAAACTATGGACATGCATATACGAAAATGATCGCCCTGAAGTGCTCTATCCGAATATATAGAGCAAACCGGCATTAAAACTATATTCAAAGAGTTAGAGGCAAAAAAGCAAATTTTCATAGTAAAATCAAGATTTTCAAAAAATTCCTCAGCGTTTCCGGGATGAAATCGCCTATGAGAAAAGCAAGTTTCAACTGTTGTTGGCGCCTTTGCATCAATAAAAGAGCTCTACAAGGTTACCTGCTCGTTTTCTAGGCTTCAAAAAGAAAAATCCCAATACTTTTGTCGTCGAGCTTTTTGAAATTTTCTCCTAATTTTCTTGTACTATGGAGTGGCCGGTTTTAACGCAGTGCATATGAAAAAGCATCTTGAATTCTACTAGGGACCGACTTTTGAGCTCAACTCGTGTTAAATCTCCCGAGATTTTGTCAAAAATAAAAAATCCCAATACTTTTGTCCGCTACTGTATATAAATATCTCCAATTCATGATTGATGGGTCATCAAAATAAAAAGAATCTCATCCTACCTTATATAATTTGGTCGCGTATCTTTTTGTGTGTGTGTGGATGTCAGTTTCAAGGCCCGATTTGAGGGCCTTCCCGTGTCCAAAATGCCCCAATCCACCGTCACTTGGGGCAATCGACCTTCCTCTTTCCAATGACGTTTTCAGAATCCCGATAAAATACAAGTTTACAAAGTTAAAGCCGGTTTTATTCATTTTTGGGGGCCCGGGAGGGCTAATTAGCATAATGCGGAAAAATACAAATTTCCTCATTCTTGCCAGTTGCACTCGCGTGTGTGGTCGGTGGGGAAGGCGGTCCGAAGGACCCGAGCCATCAGAAAGTCAAATTTATCATGGAAAGGCCGCATTCCAGCGCCCAAGGCCCGCGAAGCGGGTTTTGGGCGCTGGTTGCCGAATTGTTTTTCAGCGAGGTGTGTCATTTTGTGCCCTTTTTGTTGAGAGAACAGCTACGAATGAGTCGAAATTGTTTGTTCTTTGGCTGACGGAATTTGGAAGATTTTTGATGTCGTGTGTTATGGCACGTACAGGATCCAAAAGTGTCTTCCCATGAACAGGACGACGTAGCAGGTCTGATGATCGGCTAAAATCAGCCCCTATCAGGCAGCTTCACATCTTTAAAGAAATCATTCAGCAACGGGCTACGCAACGCTACTTCAGACAACGTGGGACCTTTCGCGGAGCCCGGAAAAATACGGAGAGATTGGACATGCTGGAAGAGAACTTTTGAGCTTCAAAGCATCAGCTCAACCCCGATTCGTCATATATATGAAAATCTTCGCGTCATTTTATGACCTGGAAGGGATCAGGGCTTGTAAAAAGATCAGCCAGCCGTTCCGGAGGGCGATAATCGGCTTTTCGTATCATTTTTGGGCTTGCGGCTCTCTCCCAGCTCTCTCTCTCTCTCTCTCTCTCTCTCTGTCTCTCTCACGCTCTCTCTTCACTCCCTCCCCTTTTCGAAAAGCCCAGTTCCGAATAGTGTGCCTGGCTGTGCAAACATGCAACCTCACATCACCCACCCGACCCCATTTTGATCCATGTTGCTCCCCATTTTTTTTAGAATGGACTGCTTGAGAGCTATTCTTATGTTTTCGGTTTTTGGAGAAACAGGTCGTAAGAATCCCACGTTACTTCATGTCTACACTTTTGCTGTAATTGATTCGGGCCGAAAAGCAGTATTAACAAACTTGAAAACCGCTATGGAGCTTTTTGGGAGAGAAATTATACCTTTTCGCCAAGCTTCCAATTTTTGGTGCCTTTGCGTTATCCAGGGGCGAGGGGAAAAAGTTATTTTACTCTTCTAGCTGATTTTTTTGCTAAAAGGAGCGGAGAAAGTTTTTCCAAACGGCTTTTTACTATTCTTATAGTTACCTAGAATTTTTCTCAAAAAATGACGATATCGTTTTTCATGACGAAATTTGAAAATTTTCTAGGGTTTTTAGGCTTTTTCTTTCAAATAGCTGCACTTTACATTAAAACGGCATTAAAACGAATAAATTCAATTTAGAAGCTGATCCTCGCATCTTACTGGTATGAATTTTTAAGGTGAATTTAGATGTATTTTGGATAAATTTTGCATCCTGATCCATAAATTACCTTTTCAGTCACAGAATTTCAAAAAGAAGATGGATTTACGTTTTTTGAACATGAATTTCAGTTCAGAAATCATACTACCTACGTGCAAAACCTGAGTCAAGGTCTGCTAACCGGCTTACCAACCGGAATCCCTGATGTTTTGTGGTTTCTGCTTCGCTTTCCCTGCCCAAAACCACCTTGACTCACCCCCCCGCATGTTCATCTGCTGCCCCGCACAAGATCGATTTTTTTCTGGACGTGGGAATTGGATACGTTGGCCAAACAAAGTTTTCTGATGCTTGAACGGCACGAATCCATGCATCGTACCTCATTTTACGGTTCATTATTAGCCTTTCGTCATTTTGCCCACGCTTATCTGATTGGTCGATTCGATTCCTGCCTTCTTTGCGGAGCGGCAAGGAATGTGCCGTCAGTTGGGGCAGAGTGATTCCGGCGCTTTTCTCACCCTGGAAGCTTCTCGTTTGGTTGATTCCGTTCCAAGAAGCAATTAAGCTGAAATTCGGGCCCTTTAATTTATTGTATTTCGACCCGTAACATCTAGATTTCCTCCCCTGGAACTAACTTTTCATAAAGGACTTCATTTCAGCTGATCCTGGATACTAATTTTCCTCTAGCTTGCCTCCATTTTTAACCTCGATTTTTCATTGATATTCTGCTAAAAATTCCTCAAGGATTTCTGCTAGACTAATTCTTTAAAATTGTATTCAAATTTGAAAATTAAATAATTTTAAATTTCTTAAAGAATCTTTTTCATTTTGTTTTTTCATGATTCATCTCTCTCGCTCTCTCTCGCTCTCTCTCTGTCCCTCTCTGTCCCTCTCTCCCTCTCTTTCCCGCTCTCTCTCTCTTTCTTTCTCTCTCTCTCTCTCTTTCACGCTCTCTCTCTCTCTCTCTCTCTCGCTCTCTCTCCCTGCCTCTCCCTCTCGTTTCTGGCGCTCTGTGCTAGTTGCTCTTTAAGCATTTTAATTTTTTTAGACCAAAATGGGTGACGGTGCCCGTTTCAATCCACAAACCATGTCCCCATTTTCACGAGGGAATCTTTCTGCCTATATGGGTGTCAGCAGTGGTGGCCAGGGACTGTATTTTGAGCCGCCGCCCGCCTATGAAGATATCGTTCAGCAGCCGGCCACACCTTGTAAGTTCAAAAGTTTTTTAAACCTGGTGGGGGATCGGGCAGATATTTTTAAAGGAAGTGGTTTTTTGTGGAACCTTAACCAAAGCTTTCTTGGTACACATAGGATAACGGGGGGGAATAAAATAACGGGGGGGCACTCATTATTATGAAATTTGCAATTACTGAGGGATTTTGCGAGTGCCATTCGATAGAGCGTCAAAAAATATACTAAGAGAATTAATTTCAGCCCGAAATAATGTAATAGAAATTTTTTATTGAATAAACAAAAATTGAGGAAAATCTATGGGCAGCACATAGGATAACGGGGGGAAGTAAAATTTTCGAAATTTGCGACATTTTCGGTATTTTGAAAACGTCATTCGATAAAGCGTCGAAAACTGCCCTAGGAAAATTAATTTCAGCCCGAAATAATGTAAATGAAATTTTTTATCGAATAAACAAAAATTGATCAAAATCCATGGGCAGCACATAGGATAACGGGGGGGAAAGCCAAATTTTTGAGATTTTCGATATTTTGAAAACGCGAATCGATAGAACATCAAAAAATATACTAAGAGATTTTTTTACAACGCGAAAAAATGTATTATAAAAGTTTTATAGTCTAAAAACTATTTTTGAAAACTATGGGCAGCACATAGGATAACAGGGGGGGGGGGGGAAATTTTCGGCGTTTTGAATATTTTCGAAATTAGGAAAATGCCATTCGATAGAGGACCGAAAAATATACTAAGAGTTTTTTTACAGCCCGAAAAAAGCTTATTTAAAAATACTTTTATCATATAAAAAGTTTGAGTGCCTGCCCGTTATTTTTCCCCCCGTTATCCTATGTGTACCGCTTTCTTTTCAGCGACCCCACCAAGTCGTCCAGACGCCCTTCCTTCGCCTCCCGCGCTGCCGCCCCGCGGGCCTCGAGCAGCGGTACAACGATGTTTCTCGCCGACGCTGACGGGCGATGGATACGTGACCGAGAAGAAGAAGGAACCGGAGCAGCCGAGTAGTAAGTCTTTTGCTACTTTTAAAGGGGTTAGGAAGCGCGAGGATCGACCCACCCCAGCCTACTGGGCGTCGACAAGTTCACACTACACCTAATGACGCATATCCGCACCGAAAACTTTTTGCCCTAGTATGATATATAAAAATTGGTCTAAAAGCGTCTATTCTTGCGCGATTTGCGTAGTTTTGACTGCGACGATTGATAAAACACTAAAAGGGACGGTGTCAGATAAATTTCACAAAAAAAGTGAAAAAGTATTTTTGTAGCTCCTCAAGACCCGGTAGCAGCACAACAAACAGCCGTTTTACGCAAAATTGAGCAGCAACAGGAACGATCAAGCAATGAGGAAGACTGTAAGTAACAATTCATACAAAATTTAGGGTGTACTTTGTAGTTTTAAGTTGCGCTTACATTATTTTTCCAACGTTACGCGTGGCTCGCGCTGCGTAGCGTATTAATCGTGGCTAGCATCAAGAGTTAAAAGGAGCGAGAGAATGAGCGAGAGGGCAAAGTAGAGAGAAAAAGTGAGAATCGCGATTTTCCTAAAATACGATCTCTTTTCAGGCGATACCCCTTCTTCAAGCACTTCCGGTATCATGGAACGCCAGTGCTCAGGCTGGGGCGAGAGAATCGGTGGGAAGTTCGAGCGGTTGGGGCAGCATATAGAATCCCAATCGGAAAAAGCTGGCGAGACGATTGAGCAGGGAGCGCAGAAGCTGACCGAACAATTTGAAAGGTCGGTTTTGAAGCCAGTTTTGAATTTATGAAGCCAGCCAGCCTGCTGTCACGCTCCCCATAAAATTTAATAATCTGCCTGGTTAAGCTCATGTAATTAACTTAAACATTTACTTGTTAAAAATTTTCACTCCTGACATTTTTCAAGCCTTTCTAGACTGCTGAACGGGCGCGGTACGGCTGTCGACAAGAATATGCCTTGGTTTGAGAAGCGGATGGACATGATGGATCTGAAGATGCGGCACAAGCAGGAGAAGCACAGCATCAAGACACGGTGGCTCGAGGAGAAGCGGAAGCACCATGAAAAGTATGTGTTAACTGGCGTATTTTGAAAATTAAAGGGACCTTGGCGGGGTTTTTAGGGTTGTCGAGACCTAGTCGACGCCAAGGGGTGGATCTGGGGCGGTTTCTGATCCATTTACTTTTCAAACTTTTCAGGTGGGAAGAGTTTCGGGTCCGGAAAGAAGCCATGGAAAAAGAGGAGAAGCGGCTTAAGGTTCGTTTTAACGGACTCAGCGAGGCCGAAAATCTTTACCTGGAACTTCGATCATCGTGTAGCTGTCTAGACCTAGTCAAAGACTAGGGTCAATTTTCGGCTTCCTAGTCCCTTTAATCCGCGTAACAAAAGAAGTAAAATTTCAGGAAGAGCTCCGAGAATCCAAGAAGAAAGAATGCGACGAATGGAAAGAGTTTGAAAAGCGAAAGGAGGCGGAATGGAAGGACAAAATGAAGGACTGGAAAGCTGGCCTTAAAGGCTCCCTTGATGCCAAGTTCAAGCAGCACTGGATGGAGATGTTCAAATGGCATCGAGAACATCCGGATGCTGGAGATGGAGAGGGGAACCGGTTGTCGGATGACGAGGAGATGCAGCAGATTGAAGGTGAGAGAGGGAGAGAGAGAGAGAGAGAGAGAGAGAGACAGAGAGGGTACCGACACCAATACCGAAAAATCGAAAACAAGGGAGGCTAGCAGGGATTTTTGTGGATTCCAAACCAAAACTGATGCGGAATTCAAAAAATTCAAGCAAGGTTTCTTTAGGAAACCAAAATTTGGCGTTTTTACGAAAACTAAAGCCTTCAATTTTTAAAATTTTCCGAGCATTTTGACTTCTGATTTTGCCATCTAGCTGAGATTCATGAAAAAATCCTACGTCCTCATTTTCAGACCAACCCCCGACCCCAGCCGGCACTCCAACAACCCCAAAACGGAGCTCGACGGACAAATAAAAGCACAAATCCTTGTACCTACCATAACTTTCATTGATTACGGTAATAAAGGTCGTTATAATTTATGATTGCCAGCTGAAAATCACAATTATTCTGACAAGAAACTCCCCGGAAAACGCGGGTTTTCCTAAAATCCAATTATTCTGGGGGCCCGGGGAGGCATTGTTACCATAGCATCCAGGTGGTTAGCGACGGGGATTCGGGCATTCTTACGCACATTCCTACATACTTTTTAGTTTCCATTTTGGTTATTATAATAACCCTTAAGCTACCTATCTATATTAAGCTAATGGAGAAAAATACAAAACCGTATCCGGTACAGCCGGGCGCCCAAAACAGCGAGGCGCCAATGTTGCAGTACAACGGTAAATTGTTGCTAGCGTTTCGTGGCGTTTTTAGTATAATCCGTAGCTGACCGTATCGCCAAAGTCCGTAAAAATTTTGAAATTTAAAAGTGTAATTATTTGCATTAACAAAAAGTGCAAAACCGACCATCGTCTTCAAAGAGGCCTCGACAACCACGCGTCACTCTAACAATAATCGATGGCAATCTAAATTTTGATAGCCTAAAAACGCTTACATGTGTTTCTTGGTGACTCGGGTAGCTGTCGAGACCTAGCAAATATTAGGGGTCGATTCTGGTACCCCCTAGGTTTTCTTACAATGAATTCTTTTTAGAAAATCGCACGACTTCTCAAGTACCACAGCTATTTCAAAGTAAGTTTCCGAACTCCCTCTCCTCTCGCCCCCTTCCCCCCTTCTCTCTCTCTCTCTCTCTCTCTCTCTCTCTCTCTCTCTCTCTTTCTGTCGCTTCTGATACCTTCCTTCAGATCCCCTCGAAGCCGCAAAACGCGGCCTAGAAAATGCTCTCGCGAGGGGAAATCCGCATCAACAGGTTATCGAAAAAACCATTGGGTATTTTCAACCCCGTTGATGTAATGAAATGATTTAAGAGCCATCGAAAAAGTGCAAGTTTTTGGGGAGCAAGCCAAGGAGGAGATGAAAAGTGAGTATCTTTCTCCTATCTCTCTCCTTCTCTCGCTCTCTCTCTCTCTCTATTTCCTCTCTCTCGCTCTAGCTCGCTCTTTCTCTCTCTCGCTCTCTCTCCCTCTCTCTCACTTTCTCGCTCTCTCTCGCTCGCTCTCGTCTCGCTTCAACTCCCAAAGTTTCCAGATCAACTGACCAAGGGAAAAGCCGGGCTGCAAGCTTCAGTCGATCGTGGCTCGCCTCATGCTGGGATCTTGCAAAAAGCTATCGGGTAGGTATCGTTTTTCGACTTGTTTAAACCTATAAGCATATTTTCAGGGCGATCGAAAAAGTTCAAGGCACGCAGAAGCGGCAAGAGAGCTACGATCTCCAGGGCCCTGCCGGGCCTTCCGGCAGTTTCCATCCGGTGGTTCCAGAAACAACGGCATCCGCTCCTCCCGACGACCCGCCACCACCATACACCGAAAAGGACCTGCATATCACGTTTACTCAATAAATCTTTTTCCTCTCGAATTTCGTGGGATACAGATACAAATACAGAGGCACACACGACTTTTGATTGAGCACCTTTAAGGTTTGAATCCGTTACGCAATGAAAACGGCGTGGACCGCGAAATCCATAGGATATCCACGGCCTTCAAACTCCACAGCCTTGCCTTGTGCGCCCCCTTTAAAACGCCTTACCTTTTTCCTATTTACATAGCCCCTAAAAATTCCAGAGAACAACAAGCTACTTACGTTACCTGGCTGCCCCCAAAAATTCTGTTGTTTTTCCCGTATGGCCCGGAATACACATTTCGACAGTATTTGTATCGGCGGGTATTTGGTAAAAGTGCATGTCGAGAGAGAGAGAGAGGGAGCCATGGTGTTGCCCTCTTTCGACTCGTCAACAACCCCCGCTGGCCCACACAAAACGGGCTTCCCCGCCTCGTGGGGATCCATTTTTCCTATTTTCGGCCGTCGTTCTCTGCGTTCGCTGGGTGTTCTTTGAAAAATTCATGTAAAAATGTCCAATTTCCCGGAATCCGCCGTCGATTTGAAGTTTCTAAAAAGCCTCCGCTAGCTGTTTCGTCTGGACACAAAAATGGTCTTAAAAGTCCTAAGAAATCTTTGCAAACCGAAACCCGTCATATATTTTTGTAAAGCCGCTCGATTTCCCTAACGCAGTCTGCTAAGTGACCGTAAAATGAAAAAAAATAAAATGAAATGAATTCGATAAAAATCACGCCACGAATAAATTTCAAAAACCTTTGCCCTGCTCTCTCTCTCTCGCTCCGCTCGCACTTACGGGCTGGCTCTCTCAGGCAGTCGATCGCTCTCTATCTGTCTCTTTCTGCCGCTCTGCCTCTTCCTCTCTCTCTCTCTCTCGCTCTCTCTTTCTCTCTCTCTTTCTCCCTCTCTCATTATTCTCTAATTTCTGTAGATCGATCATGATTAGGAATTAATAGAAACCACTTTCAGATTAAAAATGGATCAAGCTCTAAACAAAGATATCCCCTACCCACGCCAAGTTCTCCAAATGTCCGGCAGCCCGGACACCATTAACCCGTTGGCGCCATGCCCGCCACAAACCGTCATCCTCATTAAGGACAAAGGTCTGTTAACATTTCTAAGTACTGAATTAGCCCATTCTTTAGGACTGGATGCCTATGAAGAGGCAAAACGAGAAGTGACCCGAGTCGTCCCGCCGGACTGCCCGAAGAACCGGAGGAAGGTCGAGCGGGCGTTCAAGTGAGTGAATAAGTCAAGTCAAGTAAACAAGTGAGGTTGGACACGAAAGAAAAATTCCGAAAGCTAAAGCATTCGGCTGTTCGGGAGCTAGACTATCCTTTGCAGAATTTTTTTCCGATCCAGAATTTTTTTACAAATTTGCTATAGAGGCAGATTCAAATTTTTTTAAAAATTGCTCTCACCCACGATTTAAAAAAACGTAGGAACGTAATAACCAAATTTAGGGGCATCGACATGGTGAAGAATATTGAAGACCGAGGACACAAGATCATCCACGATTCGATTGATCGCTACAAGAGGGCTCATGGCAGTAAGCTTTATTCCCATCTATTCACTTCATAAAATTCAATACTCCCAAAAAAAATTCATGAATAGCGGTTTTAGAATTTTCAAAAAAAACGTAAGATTCGGATTTAGGAATTCTTGGATTTTTACCTTTTTGGCGCCAAAAATAGAAGCCGTTGATTATACTAGCTTTGCAAACACGAAAATCTGCCAAATTTTTCTAGTCCAGCAGTGTGACGAGCCGGGGTGCGAAATTCGCGAAAATCACTCTCATGAAATTGGCCCAGTGGATCTGGAGGAGCTTCGAGATAGGACAGATCAGCCCATCATTCCGCCAACATACTAGGAACGTAGCGTAACGTACGTAGCAAGTGTAAATCTTGGATCCTAGGGATAAATGTGATGGTGGAAGTGCTTGTCAGTTTACTAATTGAATCAGGACTATCGGGCGAATTAGCATTGAAACGTGGCTAGGAAGCGACGAATCCCTGACTATCCCCGTATTCCGTTTGAAATGAAGTACCTTCCTAAAAATAAATTAATTTTTATGAACAGGATGTTCTTCAAATATTAAAGCGATTTCGAATTCACATTCAAATTTCAGGCTCAGTCGATGAACTTCCACCACCTGTGCTCTCCGAATCAGCTCGTGACCGCATCGAGGAAAAAGAATACCCCGACCCGATCGCCTTCACCTCCTTGCCCTCCCAGTAAAAATCGATCTTCTTACGCCACCGTATCTAATCTGTATATATTTTTACGCGATTGTATATCCGCGATAGTACCCTCCAAAACCAACATTACATGTACAGCGTTGCTTTAATGTGCAATAAAGCTTAAGCTTGAACATTACATGGAGAGCAAAACGAGAGAGAGAGAGAGAGAGATAGAGAGAGAGAGAGCGAGAGAGAGAGTGAGTGAGAGAGAGCGAGAGAAAGAGAGAGTGAAGCGAGTGCTATGCGAGTTAGATGCAGAAGTCCATTTTACTGCGCTCCACTTATGTCAAAAAAGATTGCAGCCGTCATTTCGCTTTGGAAACAATTAATAAACAACTCGATTGATATCATTTTTTCCAGCTTTAATTGTTTGTTTTCCGCATCAAACATCTGCGTCAAGTTGCTCCTTGTGCTATGACGCGCGTATATGGGTAAATTCCATTTCACAACCGATGACTCATCGCAGGTGCACGACTTCAGAAGCGGACAGGGAAAGAGCGAAAAAAAGAGAGCGAGAGAGAGTGAGAGAGAGTGAGAGAAAGTGGGAGAAAGTGGAGACGCAAGCGGCAGCATGGTCCATATTTACCGAGTTGACGCGGGCCGGCTTGGCCCTTATCGCCGCCAAAAATTCAACCAAAAACGGCTGAACCGGGTGTGCGCTGAGTTTCATTTCTATTCCTGGATTTTCAACTCCGCTCTACTCCTTCTGAATGCTATGAACGGTTTTAAATTGGCAAAAACCATTTGTAATTTTTTTGGCTTTTTTTTTGCATCGTTCTGGAGTAGCTATCTAATCGCCGCAAAGGCTTGGTTTGATCCATATTTGTCCACTTGAATACCTTTAATACCTTTAATATCTTGAACCTTACCTTAAAAATTCCAGAATTCTGATGAATCCTTCGTACCCCCACCCAAACGCTCAGTCGGGGCAGCAGCCAGCGCCTCCCGGCTTCTCGCAGCAGACATATTCTGGTAGGTAGACTTGCAATTTTCCTAAACCCTTAGCCATTACCTTGTATTACAGTCGCTTGAGAGAGTTTTTCTACAAAAAATTACATTTTAGCCCAAAATGCGGCTAATTATGCTTATGAACAGCAACAGCAGCAACAATGCCAACAGCGGTGTCAGCAACAGGGTCACGCGCATCATCACGGGAGCTGCGACCAAAGAAGTATGTAAAGTTTTTTGCTAAAACTGTGTGATATTCTACCAAACCCTGGCAATATTTCTGATTTAGGTACCGGCAAGAAAGTACTACACGGCCTAGAAGTTGCTCATATGATTCACAGTCCTGTTCTTGGACTCGTTGGTCATGCGATTAAGTAAGTCTATCAAATAAAGAGACTGTAGTCTCTCTTTCTCTCGCTTTCTCTCTGTCTCTCTTTCCCTTTCTCACTCTCTCTTTCTCTCACTCAGTCTCTCTTTCTCTCTCGCACTCACTCTCTCTCTCTCTCTCTCTCTGTCTCTCTTGCTGACAGCTAGCGATAAACTAATCTACCTCTTCAGGAAGAGCCTCCAGAGTCCAGAGGAACGAGCACGTGAAGAAGCGGCCAAGGACTGTAGAAGGGCTGATAGAAGAGAGAGAAAGGAGGAAAAGAGAGAACATAGACAAGAAAGAAGGGAAGAGAGAAGAGAGCACAGACAGGAGAGAAGGGATCACAGGAGGGGAAGTAGGTTTTTGAGTGAGATAAAGGGGAGAAAGAGAGAGAGAGAGAGAGCGAGAGAGAGAAGGTGGAAATCGTGAAATTAAACCCTGTTTTAGTTGTACGTTGTGCCTTACCGGGCTGCAATTTGACGGCTCCTCACGTCCATCCACCAACTCCTCCAATGCCCGGCTACGCTCCACAACAGTACGTACCACAACCCTACCCGTCTCAACCGTATCCAGCCGGATACGGAGAGGCCCCACCCCCATATCAACCGTATCAATAAATTTTTGGTGTATCATATTGTAAAGTCAAGCAGGACAGCTCAAAGAACACGTTCCGTAAAAAAAAACACAAAAACAAGGGCTGTCGGGATCATGGCAGCCGGGTTTTGGTTGTCGGGATTCGGGCTGCCAGGATACCGAGTGTCGGGATTTCGGCGGCCTGCTTTTAGCGGCTGGGATTTTCACCTGTCCGCATTTCAGCTGTCGGCATTATGACTGTCCGGATCAGGGCTGTCGGAATTTCCAAATGTCGGTGTTTTTGACCTGACTGGGTTTTTGCTGTGGGGATTTTGCTTTCAGGAATGTTCTGTCGGAAAGGCTTTCCGTTTCAGGATTCGCATGAGTTTCAGCAGCTCAGAAAAAAAAAATAATTTTTGGCCTATGGAAGAACTAACTGTCACCCTCTTATGGTCGAAGTGGAAATTTGTTTCGTCAGATAGCACATCTTGTGCAGAATTTTTCGCTGATTCCGAATCCGTTTTCAAAAGTTGCGGAACCCCTCAACTTAAAAGGTTACAGGCGTTTTTAATACCCAAAATGCCACAAATCACTTAATTTAAAGCGTTCCAAAAATTCCGTAAACTACTTTTCGGGGGAGAGTAAGGCGTTCTCCGGGATAAAAAAAAACGTTTTCTTTCGAATGGGCTACCTCACAAACTGAAAGCTCAAAATTTCTAAATTTTCGAAAATCGGCCGTCTTGGGCAAGGGTCCGCCAAAAAAAACTTTTTGCAAGTTTTGAGCTATTAGGTAGCCCATTTGAAAGAGCACTTTTTTACCCCGGAGGTCGCCTTACCCCCCCCCCCCCGCCCCCGAAGTATTTTACGGAATTTTTAGAACGCTTAAAGTCAGTGATTTGTGGGATTTTGGGTATTAAAAACGCATGTAATTTTTTAATCTGAGGGGTTCCGCAACCTTTGAAAACGGATTCGGAATCAGCAAAAAATTCTGCACAAGATCTGACGTGTGACGAAAAAGTGCTATCTGACGAAACGAATTTCCACTTCGACCAAAAAAGGGTTACAGTAAGCCGATTTTCCCGCGCATCTTTCAAAAACTGCCGTTAGCATCAAAAGAACATCACCATATCCGCTGACGAATCATGTTCGTTTCTGACGCGAAAGACCTTAGGGGAGACCAAAGAAACGACTTTATTTTCAAGCATCTATTGATTATCAGAATCAGAAGGCAATTGACAGTGTTGATTTTTGCACTTTCTAGCCCTTTTAAAACTCACTCCCTCTCCGCCGTCCCCGCTTCTCATCCTTTTTCTGCTGCCTCTCCGCCCGGCGGCAAGCTTTTGCGGCATCTTCTCGCTCTCGGGATTCCGGGCTCTTTAGTCGTCTACTAAAAAAGTTGTGTTCAGTAGCGTATCGTAATAGATGTGAGGTCCTATATTTGTCTTTCGGTGGGGCCAAAAGGGCCTCCCGTTTCGCTCCCTGCCGCGCACCTGGCTCAATCCGGATATTTCTCATTTTTACACATGTTGCTCCATTTTTCAAACTTCTCAAAAATCTTTACTTGGCCGATTTTCCAGAAATAATAGATGAACCGGGTTGCTACTTTGGTTTAAGTTTCGTTTTTTCGGGAACTGCAGCAAAAATGTTTACCGTGTTTTAAGTTTCCCTTTTTTCAAGTATTTTAATTGTATGATTTAGTTTTAATAATTATTAATGTGACTTGCCACCAGCGCCTTGCCTTGGATGCAGGGACGTAGCCAGAAAAAAAATTTCGGGGGGGGGGGCCCCGAAAAATTTTTTCCGAAAAACTCAAAAAAATTAACGAAAAACAGCGCCGCAGGCGAAAAATTTTGGAAAAAGGGCTACATAGCTCCACAAATAACAGTAAAAACGTGAAAAAATAGCGCCACAGACAGAAATTTTTTTGAGAAAATAAAAATCATAAGGGTCCCCCCTTATGAAATTTACGGGTCCCGGCCGATTTCGGGGGGCCGGGCCCAGGGGGCCCACCTTACGCCACGTCCCTGCTTGGATGTTTCCGCTTTAAAACGTTTTTTCTTGGTCGATACAATTTTGGTTTCAACAAACCATTTCTAGTTAAAATTGAAATAAAACCTGAGGCTTTAAGTCAACTTTTCTTGTTGAATTCAACACCGATTTCAGTTTCTTGATTTCTTAAGCCAAGTACGTTTCAGAAAAACTTTTGGCGATGAATAACCAACAGTTTGAAACCGGCTACGCGCCTCAGCAGCAGCCGATGGGGTATTCTGGTAGATCTATTGAAGAAGCCACAGTTTTTACCCCCGTGTTTCAGCGCAAAACGCTACAAATTACGCCTATGAGCAACAGCGACAACAACAACAGCAAAATTTACAACAGCAGCAACAGCAGCAGCAATACCTACCGCAGAGTCATGTGGGACACCAGGGAAGCTGTGATCAGAGAGGTAAGTTACTGATAACTCTAAAGTAAAGGGCAAGGCCGGGACCTCGTATTAAAAATGAGTTTTGTTTAGGCGTGGGCGAGAAGGTAATCCATGGCCTCGAGCTCGCGCATATGATTAGCAACCCGGTGGCCGGGCTGATTGGCCATGCCGTTATGTCAGTTTTAGCGATTAAACAATGAAAATGAAAAAGGCTTCAATATTGCAATCCCGCCACCAATTACGATACGCTACTGAACACAACGTTTTTAGTAGACGTCTAAAGAGCCCGGAATCCCGAGCGCGAGAAGATGCCGCAAAGGCTTGTCGCCGTGCGGAGAGGCAGCAGAAAAAGGATGACAAGCGGGGACGGCGGAGAGGGAGTGAGTTTTAAAGGGGCTAGAAAGTGCAAAAATCAACACGTCAATTGCCTTCTGATTCTGATAATCAATAGTCCGTTGAAAATCAAGGTCAAGACTCTATGGCGCATTTCGACAGGTACGCGTATTTGTAGACCTAGGCATTCGGACGGGATCGACGCCCATTTCCCGGCCTAAATCACGTGCGCTTTGGTTAGCGCGTATTTGGCGACACACAGGCAATCTGGAGGGCCGAATTTGGCGCTGCGCAGGTCCTTGAAATAGTTTTTGGCTTTAAATGTGAAAAAAAACCCCATAAATCGCCTTGTTCAGATTCAACGCCTCCAACCACAGCCTCTTGTGCATACCCCGGTTGCTATATGGTAGGCCCCCACGTACATCCGCCATCTGCATCGGCGCCGAATTTCGACTACGCAGAACAGCACAAGTACCAAGCACCGCCTGTGTATCAACCATATCAGTGATCGGATTCAGTTATGATTTGCCAATTCGATAAAGGTTTCCTCAAGAAAGGGTTGTACGATAAAATTCCAAAAACGCAGAAATTAAATTAGAGAGCGAGAAAGAGAGAGAGAGAGAGAGAGAGAGAGAGAAGGAGAGAGAGAAGGAGAGAGAGAAAAGTAGAGGGGGCTAAAAAGAGAGTGAGAAAATGCCAGAGAGGAAGAGAGAGAAACAGTGAGAGAGGCAGCGAGAGAGAGTGATAGTGAGAAATGGAGAGAGTAAGAGTGAGAGAGAGTGAGAGAGTTAGAGATAGAGAGTGAGACACTGCGATAGAGAAAAGGTGAAATACTGACGAACCGAGTTACCGATATCTTCAAAGCTAGTGGACTTACAAATTTTTTATACGAAAACATCGGGAACAAACTCAAATCTCCTGCTCTTTCTAATCCAAAAATTTTGGACCGATTAGCCCAATGGCTTATCCCTATTTCTGACCCCCAACAAGGTGCGCGAGTAACCCTAGGAGACCAGAGGAAACGACGAGGTCCAGTATTTACCTTCATGGACAGAGAGAGGGAGAGAGACAGAGAGAGAGAGAGCGATGGAGAGAGAGCGATATTCCCGAAAAATGAATGCGTTTCACTTGACCCTCCCCTGCCCTACCTCACTTTCCACGTCGGGAACTCTTTCGCAATCCCCCTCCTAATCCACTGGTATTTTGGGGCATGAATCGTCAAAAATACGATATGGATTGGCCACCGTTGCAGCCAAATTATCCCCGGCAACAGGGTGAGTTAGCGACGATCTAAAAATTGTTAAAACTTCGGTAAAAATCATGGAAAATTCTCAAATAATTCAACTTTAAGGCATAGTAAAATACACAAAAAAGTTTGCGTGAGCCTACTGGACTGGATAGCAGCACAAATTGTTGCGCCGAATTTTGAACAAGTGCATCATCGTTTTCTGTAAGACATGTTTTCTGCATTTGCATAGCTTTCAACCGTATCTGGCCTGGCCTTTGGACTGCCGAAAAATACCTATCCACAGAGCAATAAAACTGGTTGCTAACTTTTTTATTTATGCTCCAGCCAATTCCCTTCATAGTATTTTGAAAAATCGAATATCTTTTCAGCACTACCACCGCAACCACCAGGCCCTCAGATCATCTACATCCAACAACACCACCCGCAGCAGTGGTGCCAGCCCTTCGGTGGATGGGGTGGAGGAGGATGCTGCGGAATGAGGAGGGCTAGTAAGTTCGATTTAGGGGGCATGGAAGCAAAGCAGTAAGTGCAAAACAGAATGAGGAAAACGCGAGTGTTGGGGCGTTTCCTGAACTTTCGAGGCCCTTTAAAGGGATAACCAAGGTTTTGGCGGCAAATATATAGTTATATATTCCGGGCAGTACAGCTGACGCGCGAATTCCGCGGGGGGCCCATTGCCGCACAGAATTCGGACCCTTTCCATCTTGTGGCGTCCCCATGCCGCCCAACGGCTTGCCACTCTGGCCTAATGGATAGCATCCAGGCCTACAAAACGGGGATCCCAGGTTCGACCCCCGCCCTCGGCATGGCTTTTGCTTTTTGACTCTCGGAAAGGTTGGGCATCCCTTTAAAGGAACATTTAAGTCTGGGATTCGTTGGAACTGCCGTAACTTTCCTTACTTTTTCTAGCCTACTGCCATCGTCCTCCCTATGGCGGCGGGTTTGGCGGAATGGGAATGGGGATGCACCCCATCGGCTCGCTGATCGGTTCGGCTATACGGTTCGTTTTACTGTGTTTCCAAATTGGCCGGAAAAGTGTAGTGCTCCAGTTTTTCTAGGTCCTGACAGGAACTTGGGTAATCAGGCATGACAAATTTACCCGACGCTTTTTCCGGAACTGGCCAGATGGGGTAACCGTAAATGTGCGGAAAATCAGAGAGATCAGAAATCAGATCATAGGGAATTCCCCAATGATCTCTACTAGCACGCCCATTTTCTTTTTAGCAAAGTCAAGGTTTTTTCAGCGGTCTTCAAGGACGGCGATCGAAGAGTGAGAGCCGGCTGAATAGCCAACAATACGCGCAACAACAGCAACAGCAACAACAACAGCAGCAACAGTACCAAACCACTCCGCAAAATGTGGAGTACGGTAAGTGTCTCCTCATTTTCCAAGGAAAAAACTCAACGGGTCATTTGGCCTGGCGCGTAGCTGTCGATACCTAGCCCAGCGATACCGAGCGATATCTCGACAGTAGCCTTTTTGGCTGTGTTAAAAATTAATTTTCCCGTTTTTAGTGTCGCGATGTCCATTTGCGGAATGCGAGATCGTCGGCCCGCATTCACACCAACTTCAAGTCAACCCAACTGTACCGTATCCGCAGCAACAACAAACCATCTATCCGCAGCTGTACCCTCAGCAGCAACAACAACAAAATTACTTCGGCGAGGCCCCACCCCCATATCAGAAATATCAATAAAAATCTGAATTTATGCTTTTTTTTTTGGTTTTTAATGAAGATTTTATATATCCTTCTGGCCTTGTACAAATCGAGCTTAATAAACTATCGAAATTTTGTGAAAATATCATATTCTACTGGCGTTTTCGGCTAATTTTTACTGATCGTCTTGCTTGTGCTTCATTTTTCGTGGCCCGTAGCTTTAAAAAAATCTGTATTTAAAAAATTTTTCAGAATGAAAAATAAAACTTTTTAGGCACACCAGCTTGCTTTTCCAATTTCTATGAATTTTTTGAAGTTTCTGGCTTTGTTTTATAAACTGTGGTTTTCAGTTTTGGAATAGGAAATACAATTTTTAATTACTTTACATCTTTAAATTATTATCACGATTTTTCGTGGTTTCGAACCGATTTATCGTACCCAGCCCGCCATTTACACAACTTTCAACCCTAAAAGTCAACAAACTTCCGTAAAATTATATGATTTCGTCACCATGATATTTTTTGCAAACTTTTCAAGCCTTGTACCTGCTATTCTGAGGTGTGCGTCATTAGCGCTCGTTTTCCCAAGATAGTCAAGCGACCAAAGATTAGAATTGCGTACGCGGGGCGCGAAGCCAAAGAACCAACCGGCTTATTTGCGAAACCCAAGAAGAGAACAGTGGGCCCCCACACACTCACGTGGTTTTCGTTCAATATTTCATCGTTCTGGGGCCCGGATCCGAGTTTCATGACTACCATAAGCGTGTATTAGTACATACCTAGCATTAAATTTGCTCCACTTACCGGCTTTTATTGAATTTTTATGAACAAGTACGGCTATCATTATCTGAGCAAAAATTGCAAAAAGGATACTGAGGATTATACAATCAATTGCTGTAATCGAATTTCCGGATTAATCTTCCTTTGGTTGTAACTATCTATTCAATGTTGCATGTTTTTGGGATGTCATTACAACATATTACAACATTACATTCAATTGGTATATTGTTCCGCCTTTTGTCGAATATCATAAAAGGAATGCGGAAAAATGGCTTTCCTGGCTCAACTCTAGTTTACCGGCTTAATAGCTATATGTTATATATAAGCGCTAAATTATAGCCAATTTTCGCCAAAGTTATTTATTTACAGTTGCAGCTAAAATTCTCTTGCCAAATTCGCAAAAATTATATATCGTATATCGTACAAATTGTATATCGTAGGATTATTTTTAACACGCTCTCCGGGTTTTTGTTCCTTTGAGCATGACTATAAGATTTATCCTATTCTTCGCTCTAGGTTTTTTCCGTAAAATTTTGGTAATCCCCTTTTTCACTGCTTCCTCCTCGAAAACGCGCAAAAACGCCTTCGTGGTCGCTTTTTAAACATTTAATTCCAGGAATGATCGACAGTTCGGCTGCTCACAAATCTGGCAACTTCGGTTTGCTGAAAATAGTTGATCGTATTTTTTTTGTTTCAGCCGATACCAAAATCATCTTCGTCCAGCCGCCAGCCCAACAAAGCCAGGGTTGCTGTGGAAAGGGTCGCGCTATGAATGGAGCGTTTATGGCGGCAAATCCGGCTGGGGCCCTAATTAATGCTGCGATACGGTAATTAGAAAATTAAAATTATTCTGCTTTGAAGAAAATTGTTAATTAAATTTCGTTTTTAGACGAGCGATGCGTGGTCGACACGAAAAACGCAGAGCTCAAGAACTGGCCAAACAGCATCAGGAATTGGAGAGATACGTGGCTCAGGAGCGGGAGGTTATACAAGGTATATTTTGACTCAAAACGAAGATTACTGTGGATTATGGATTTACGCTCGTCAAAATTTTTATTATAGTCGAAAAATGCCCATTTGCCGAGTGCCAAGTTGTCGATGCGCATTTCCATGAAATGCCAGCTGAAAAAGACGACCCACCGCCACCCTATGAAGCCAAATCTATATGATATCTAATCTATATAAAGCCAAAAAAGACGTTTATTTATTTCTTATTTTCAATATTTATAAAAGCGTGAAATAGATGATATTATTGACGTTGCACTTTTAATAAGCACTTAAATGCGATTAAATGCTACAGATGTGAGGAGGTAACGCCAAAAAAGGCTGAGAAACGGCCACATAGTCGGGCAATCAGGCAGCGGTGCTTTCCGATTTTTTTGATCGGTTTAAATTCAGATCTTTTAAATATGGTTATTACCTCGCAACCTCCTGCAAAAGTGGAGCTTTCAAAACTTCGAAATCAGCCATGTACTTCTATATGTCGGCATTTTGGTGTTGTTACTAAAATACCGACAGTCTTGAACGTGGACATTTTTAAATTTGAAGTTGTTAGCTGAAAATTCCACCCTTCGAATTTATGAATTTAGAGATTCTTAGTTACGGGAATGTTGGGTTGGGATTCTCGGTATTTCGAACCCATCAGATTTTCGGTATTCTGATTGACCCCAATTTCTTGTATTTCGGTGCTGCGACACCCGTTTCCACAGGATCAATTTTCGAATTTTTGCGAAAATTCTGAAAATCAGGGAATTTTACTTTTTAAATTTTTGGAGATGTTCGATATTCTGAAATTTACATTTCGAAACTCGAGGTTATGCTACACCCCTCAGAATGCCGACAATCCCGTTTGTGCTATTTTCTGTGAATGATGTGGCCGATGCCGAATTATACCTCATCGAGACTGCACATTCATAGTTCCGGGACATTCAGATGAGAGCGAGAGAGAGAGAGAGAGATAGAGAAGAGAGAGAGAGAGAGAGAGAGAGAGAGAGAGAGAGAGATAGTAAGAGCAAGAGCAATACATCTCTTGACATGAAAATGGGGCTTCCGGATGAATAAACGAAACAAAAATCCGAGCTACACCCCCATAATGAGACCCACTCGTCATTTAGGCAAACATCACCGCAGACCCACCGCTTTTCCAGGGAAACAACAATAATATAGCCGACAGCATACTTTACACAGCCGACGTGAAGTTTTCCAAGTAGCTTATCGAGATGTGTTTTTAGAGCGTTTTTCGTCAAAAATTTGCTTTTGAAAAATATTTTCGTTGACCGGGACTGCGGCTCATTTTCGAATTCGCATTGGCTTCTCTCAAACTTATCTGTAATCTTAGACTGTTTTGTAGTTTTCTGGATTGTCTAGATTGCATAGGAACATTCAACTAGAATCTAAAAATCCATATGATTAAAAATGTCATCAAAGGCCTAAATTTAGGTCTCATCAAAGGTCGACTTTCAGGCGTTTAGACCGTTTTGGCGACGTTTTGTGACAGCAGCTGAAATTCCCAAAAATGAGACTCTTCAATATCGACACCGCCAAGATACAGATTTTTCGTTTTTTTTTGGTGACCGCGAAATTACGGATTCGACGGGGGTGGCCGAGTTTTTACGCAGTCAATACTGGCGCTCCCAACATAATTCACCACCCCTTTTTGTGGAATTTACGATTGAAAATTATCGATAAATTTGACAAATTGTTTCAATAGATTCCAGACTCTCTATTTTTTTACTGATCTGTTTTTTCCCTATTCTCCAGTTCTACAAGTGTCGATCCTTTTTAGTATTTTCCCCGGTTTCAAGCCTTTCGCCAGAAATAGCGTTAGAACTTCAGAGATGCACTCGTATCCCTGGACGCTTTGTAATTGGATATCCTGTCTGGCCATCTTGGGGTTATTATTTTTGGCTACGATTATGGACCGAGGAGGCGGCGATGCCTACAAATCTCAGAAAACTCGGTAGGGCGCATTCAAACCTGACTAGAACGGATTGAAATTCACCCTGGCTTGCCGATAATTGGCTGGGGGGCTCCCTGAACCCATTAGAAGTGTGTCAAAAAGTGCAAAAAAAACGTTGTAAAATTTTACAGAGCCGCCCCGAAAAACGGCTCCAACCCGTCGATAAATGCGACATGCTCTCCGGTGGATGTGGGCTGGATCGAAGCCGATTACTCAGAAAAATACCTGGTTGGGTATATGGGGATGCATGAGGGCGGGAATCAGATGGGCAATTTGGTCTTCGAGCTGCTGGGATTTGCCGGTATCGCCAAGGTGCTTGGCAGGTAGGTCGATACGATTTTAATCGCGGCGTTGAGTCGATTTCAATCGATGCCGCATTCATGGCTAAAAATTGGGATTTTTTTAACCTCAATAATTACTTTCCTACTCCGTGGTCTACATTTCCAGAACCCCAGTAATCGTCCTCGGCAGCAAGCACGACTACGGTGCGCGACCCCAATTCTGGGACAACCTCCTCTACTACCCAAATTTCTACGCGGGCATCCGTTTCGTATGCGACCCGGGATTCAACGTAATTGTTTTTTTTTATTTTTAGCCTAACAATTTTGGAATATTTATGTTTTTTAATATGGTAACCATTGCTGAAGTTACCGTTTTTGCTTAGAAATCGCAGCATCGTCAGGCCGGTTTTTTCAACAGGGACGAGAGTTGGTCGGTGTTACAGTGGCAAGTTTTTTTTAACATAATTAATTACACAACTAGGAATACCGTCGCTTCCATTTATCGATCAATATTTTTCTTTCTAGGACCCTAAAATCTGAAAATGCTGCTCAGATTTTGGCGGCCACGGTGAATATGATTCAGGTACGCTTCAAATTAGTGGCTTTTGAGCTCCGAAAAACTTAAAGCGGTTATCGAAAGAGAGAGAGAGAGAGAGAGAGAGAGAGAGAGATAGAGAGAGAGAAAGCCAGAGATGAGAGAAAATACAAAAGATTTTTTCAATCCCAAAATTTCCAGACACGTCGATACTACGAAATTTTGGGGAAGGACGACCTTCGAAGCCGATTAGTACTCCCGGAAATAAGTAAAAAATTCGTGCGAAACCTGGTGATGTCCCCGTTTCACGAAGCGGAGAATCGGTACGTGAAGCTCAATTCTGAACTCCAAAGCCCAGACTCAGGCGCGTAGAAGGGGGGCAGCGGGGGCAGGCTGCGCCCCCGAAATCCGGCGGGCCCGAAAAAAACATAAGAAACATAAGGCCCTTATGATTTTTTTCAACTTGAAAATTTTTTCGCCTGCGGCGCTGTTTTTCTTACTTTTTCTTCATTTTTTAGCCTGCGGCGCTGCTATTTTAGCTAAATTTTTGGCTTGCGGCGCTCAAATTGCGAAAATTTTTTCTTGCGGCCCCCCCCGAAATGTCGCTGCCCCCCCCCCCCTCCCCCGAAACTTGGGGTCAGCTACGCCCCTGCCCAGACTTCAAAGAATAACAAATTGTGATTTTAGAATGTGCGTCCACATGCGCCGCGGCGATTTTCATGGCGGCCTGATCCGGTCGACGAGCAACTACACGGCCGAGGCGATCAGGGAGGTGTTGTGGAAAGGTCAGAAATCCGCTATTTTGGGGTGCGAAGCACAAGACGTCAAGTGTCATTTGGCTTGGAGCGTAGCTGTGAATAGCTAGTAAGGTCGTTTCGGTCGCATCATTTTATGCAACTCGACTTAGCCCGTCTGTTTCTCCTGAATCCTCAAGCTACTAACCTTGATCTTTTAGAACCCGGTAACTTCAGCGTGACAATATTCTCGGATGAGCAGGATTTTGTGGAGGATATGGTCGCAAATGACTCGGATTATTCAGGTCAGCGACCGAAGTTTTTTTGTCGGATCGGTTGCTTTGGAGTACACATCTTTTCGAAATGGCGTCTCTTTGCTGAAAACGATCACTGAACTGTTTAGATTTGAAATCCCGCATCTACCTACCCCCGGCTCGGACATTCCGCCATCAGATGCCGAAGCACTACACCTGGGCGTTCTTTGGAACGCACTGTACACATATCGTACTGACGGGTACGTGCCGATGGATGATCCTTTTCTGACAACTTCAAGGATCGATGGAGCCGCAAAAAGGCCCCTGAAAATCCCGTATTTCAGCCTCCCAATCAACTTTCGGCATCATCGGCGCGTACTTGGCTGACGAGTCGGTGAAGGTGTACGTCAGCAGCCACTACCCAGCCGACGTCGATCCGTCGGCCATGTTTCTGAAGCATTGGCGATTCTTGGACGTCTAGAAGACATTTGACATTTTGTCTTTTTCTTTTCGATCCCTTGTTGTTACGGGTATTCGTTACGGTGTTCAGTTCATTGAATTTTTCCTGTTGGTTTTTAATAAATAAATACTATTAATGAAAATTGTCAAAACATCTGTCTTGAACTGTGGTGTCTCTGATATTTCGTGTCGACCGGACACTCCCTTTCCGGCCATATAATTCCTAAAGGGGGCGGCTGTGACGCCTCAAACCGCCGTCCGCTTATTTCTTATCAGGAAACCGCAAAGATTTGTTCTGTTCCACTTGCACTACCTGCCCCTAGTGTCCAATTTATTCGACTGTATACACAACTTAAAAACAACTCGCGCCGCTAGATGCTAATTAATCGAAGGGTAATTTCAAAATTTGTCAAACAAAAAATATTAAAAATTTCCGAAGGCTAGTGGCTTGTTGCTAACTATCCAAACATTTTATTAACGGGAAAAAACGTAAAAATGCAAATTACTGCTTTAAAACGGGTCTAAAAACATTTCTGATTTGTTTTATCTAGTTTTGGAAAAAATAGTTTTAATTTGTAAATCTTGTAAATTTGGTATTAGGCTGTGATCGGATGGGGGTGGGGGGATGCCATAGCTACCTCGAACCTTTTTTCTTTTAAAAATTTTTTCTGGTTAGTTTAAGAAGGTTTCCTGGTTTTTCTCGTTATTTCTGTCAAAAAATCATGAAAAATTTATAAAAAATTATCTAAACTATTTTTCATACATGTTAGGCATTGTTTATATTTTTCTCTGCTGAAAAACATCCAAAAAAATTGGCAAAAAGGATTCCATTTTTGAGGCTCTCTCGGGTGATAGATCTGCGCCCCCCCCCTCCCGCTAATAGCCCAGCACCGAAATCCTTAGCCATATATAAAAAACTTAAAAAAACATATAATTTTTTGTCAGATTACGATAATGCGAATTTTAGAAAGCCTTACCCATCCTCATCATCGCCGGAGTTTTCTCAATTTTTCTCTTCATCGATTTTTCGAAAAATCGATCAGCCAGCAGGTAAACGCAAAAAAGGCACGCAAGCTTTTTATGCTTTGAAGATCCAGGGGCTCGGCGACGAATTTTGATTCTGAAGCTTCATTCCAACGGCTGGAAACCGCTTTCCGGAAACACTACCCCTTTACCCCAAATGTCAGCCGTGATTTCGGCTATGAGGGCACCGACCTCGACAAGGCTTTTTATGAATTCCCGATCCCGACGGCCGCCATTTACGTCTACAAGGCTTATTATGATTTGAGGTCGGTATCTTTGGACAATCTAAAGGCGCCGGCAAGACATGAATATGGATTTAAGCCTTCAAGGGTTACAGGCCTTAGTTAGCCTAGGCCTAAGTCAACGCCAAAGCCGAAGTCTAAGCCAATCCTAAGCTCAAGTCCGCCCTAAGCCTGAGCCAAAGCCTAAGTCTAAGCCTAAACCTAAGCCTAAGCCAAGCCTAAGCTAAGCTTAAGCTTTCAGAGATCCAGAAGGGCCGCGAATTCGTGTCCTCATCACTGCCAACTGCACGCTGATGAACTCAAATACCACCCGACTCGACTTGACGATGGATGGGAAGTCGATCGGGATCGGGTGGAAGAAGATGACCAACGGAAGTAAGTGTATCCGCATGTATCTGGCCTCGAAGTGCTCAATGATTCCGTAAAAGCTCGTGCTTAGGCTTAAGCTCAGGCTCAGGCTTACGTTTAACCAGACATGGCAAACGGCCGGGCCGCCGGCTTTTTTCGGCCGGAAAATTAGCATGCGGCCGAGCCGCGCGGCTGGGCCGGAGCTTCCGGTCCGGCCCCGGCTTTTTTCTGTTCTGAGGCCGGAGCCCTGGCCAAGCCGCCGGCTTTTGAAAAGCCGGAAAGCCGGACCCAAATGAGATTTTTGCCTTTCCGGTACGCAAATTGCGGATTCAAGCAATAGTTAGCTTTATGGCAAGGGAAAACTATTCTACCATAGAAACTTTGTCATTTCCATTCACAAATTTGCATAGGATTTACGGATTCTCACGTAAATGAACAACTTCCGGTTTCCCGGCTCGACCGGACCGGCTTGGCCGGGCCGCAACAAAAAGCCGGCTGGGCCGGGAAGCCGGTTTTCCGGAAGTAAGTCATTAACGCGGCTCGTAGGGGGCCGGGTTTTTATGGAAATTAGGCCGGCGGCTCGGCCGTGCGGCTGGGCCGGCCGGGATTGCCATGTCTGGTTTAACCTTAATTTTCAGTCGGTTGCAAATCGGAGAGCTGCAAGTTTTGGCATTACGATATAGCATCCAAGGTTTATGAGGGAAGAGTACCGGATACGGTAGGTTTTAGACATAACAGATTCAAGGGTTGTAGTTTATATGCGCTAGAAATGGCGTATTTTAGATCACCTTCCACCGTAATGAGTTCGCCGCCGAAATCCCGGTCGAGCGATCTCCAGCGAAATATACGGACGATGTATCGGCGTGTATTGGAGCGTTGCATTGGTATGTTAGAGAGCGAGAGAGAGGGAGAGAGAGAGAGAGAGAGAGAGAGAGAGATACCCTTCTCTTTCCAGGTACAACGATTGGCCCCGTCTGATCCTGTATGTAGAAATGGCTCGTCTAAACGGAATCTCTCGTATTCTTGTCACTTGGCAATCGATATCAAAAGAAGTGAAGGCTGTCATCGATTATTATCAACAAAGAGGAATTATACAACCACATCCATGGCCATTGTTGCCGTTTAACGAAAAGGTACGGTAGAAGATACCTTACAACTTCCATATACTTCCAGAGGGATCCAAATGCGAATGTTTTCATCGTCAGCCACAATCTCTTCACACAACATTGCAATTTCTGGTCGAGGAGCAAGTATACGTTTTTGAGCGACGTGGATGAGTTGCTGTATATGAGGTAAGTCTTGGCCTGAAAAGTCAGTCTTTCTAGCCCCTAAAATTGTCAAAGTGTCCACGCCTTTTCAGATACCACAACACGACGCTTTTTGACCTTCTGGAGACGTGGTATCGGAAGAAAAGCGACATCGGTTTGTAAATCCTTTTTTTTCACGCTGTGAGATAATTTATAGCCGGCTTCAAGTTCAAGCATACCCCAATGGCATTGAAATTGGCGCCAGAACCCTTTGATTACGACAAATTTTTGGAGCTGGACGCGTTGCGGAATCCAGTGCCATATCGGTATTGGAGATTCCCAAAGGTAAGTTAATGATTGGAAATCAGGTCGCCAGATTGCGGCTCACTTTAAAGGCACCGGCAAGGCAGAAACCGGCCGTTCCGAATCGATAGGAAGGTTACAGGAAGCGAATCTAATGTAGAGTCGCTGGCCCTGCTTCTCTTTAATTTGCTAGCAAATTTTATATCATTTAGTCGATTTGGTTGACCGAAGCAACGCGAATCGCCTGGGTCCATTACGCAAAGGAATTTTTTGGGAAGCGCAAAAATCATGATGTAAGTTTTAAAGCAGCAACCCAGGGAGTGACAGATAGTGAAAGCGGGAGAGGAAGTGAGCACATAATCGAGCTTGATCCTGACCTCTTCAAGACCTCATAATTTCAGATCCCGGCCGAGGAGGCCCTCTACTTCCATTTGAGGGACACTTTTGAAAATGCGAACACCACCGCCCTCTATCCGGACGTGCAGCTTTTTAAAGAGGTATGACTAGGGAACATGAAGCATAAGAATCCACCGCGCGATGTCATAAGCATCGGAATTTCCAGGATGAAATCGATGAGCGTCTGGTGGCGATGGCAAACACGATTCGGGAGATATTTCCGGACGGAACGCCAAATTATCGGGCGAAGAAACTGGCGGCGCCAAGGAAGGAATGCCAGAAAAAGTGAGTTATCAAATCAAAAAAGTTCTGATTGTGCGCGTAAGCATAAATGAGACGTCGCGTGTCACGGGCCCGATCAAATCCATAGAGAGCTGGTCGGAAAAAATAGAAACCCCATGCCAGCCGTATAAACCTAAACACCTCCCATTTTTAGACCAATCGTAAAGGGGTGCCGCGACTCGGGCGTAAGCTGTTTCCCCACCCTCCGCAAGATGGACGAGTGGATTTTCGCGGTCCCCACACCGGAAAGCTTTTACATACCTGTATAATATTATCCTGTTGCATTAGTGTGTTCGGATTTATACCGTGATTTTTTTTACTATGTCGGGTTTGCAGCGGGTGATAATAAAAACCGTTTTTCAGAGGTAACTCGCTCTACAGTGGCTCGGTTTTTCGTAAAACCTTCCAAATCGGAAATTTTTGCGGATTCCTGATCCGTTTATAAAAGTTGCGGAACCTTTCTAGTTAAAAAATTACCGCCAGTTGCGCCCACCTGGCCGAACATTCTAAACCTAAGGTTAAACATCTTACAAATCCTCGTCAAATTGGAGAGCGAGAGAGAGAGAGAGAGAGAGAGAGAGAGAGAGAGCGAGAGACAGACTAAACCCTGGAACTTCAAGGGATTGGTCTGTCTCTCTCTCTCTTTCTCTGCCTCTCGCTCTCTCTCGCTCTCTATCTTGCTTGCTATCTCTTTCCCTCTCTCGCTCTCTCGCTGCCTATAATATCTTCATCCCAAACCTAACTCAAATCTCAAAAACCACCGGTCATGAAAAACGGTTACAGTTACAGCCTAAATTCTTTCAAAGAACTTCAGAAGTGATTCCTTTTTTCTGCACCTTGCCCGCAACCCCCCCCCCCACCCCCATTAAATATGGCTATTTAGACGATCGGTGAAAGGATGTCGTCGCCGCGACGAGGACCGTTAGCTGTTTCCTTTTCCCTATACAAACTGCATGATTGGATTTTGGGGAGACCGACGCGGCAAAGCGCCGACATCCGGTATAAGATGTCGGGCTCTCTTTTTTTCGCTATAGTTTAGCATTCTCTTGTGAACCCGTGATTTAGGAATTGTTTTTATTAAACACAACAAATTAGTGAAATTAAAGAGAGCCACAAAACTAAAAAAAGTAAAATCCGCAGCTAAATTATTGCTGATGCCGTTTGGGCCAAAGGTGAATATTTTTTCAATCCGTGATCTGACAATCATATCAAAAATTCTAACAAAAATTCCAGAAATACCGTTTCTTACTGCTTTTCATCGTGATTTTCGTAATCTTCATTTTTCTACATGATCGAAAACCCGGCCTGCCGAGTTGGTAATTCATAAGTTTTACGATTGAAATTGATTCATCTTCTGCAGGTTTGAGTTGGAACGCATTGATCCGGTGGAAGCCACTCTGAAGAGGTCGATTTTTGAGCAGCACTATCCGAAAGCTAGAAGCAATCCTTCTCGAATCACAAAATATGGGAACAGTGGTTTCGGTGACTCGCATTACGAGGTGCCGATCGATGATGAAGCCGTTTATGTATACAAGGCTTACTACGACTTGAGGTAAGCCAAAGCTTGAGCTTAAGCCTAAGCCTAAGCCTAATCCTAAGCCCAAGCCTAAGCCATGCGTAAGACTAAGCCGAAGACTAAGCCGAAGCCTAAGCCTAAGCCCCATCCCATGCCTAAGCTAAGCCATGCCCAAGATAAGCCTGAGCTTAAGCCGAAGCCTTAGCTTAAGCCCAAGCCTAAGCGTATCCATACCTTGCGTTTAATAAGCATAAACCTAGAGACCCGGCCGGCCCTCGAATCCGGGTACTACTCACATCAAACTGCAGCATACTGGCAAACACTACCAACACCTGGGACCTGAAAATCCGTGGGAAATCGATTGGGGTCGCATGGAAGAAATTGACAAATGGGAGTAGGTACCATTTCATTTTTTTGAATTTCTAGCGCGTAATTGGGTACGACTGAATTTGTACGAAATCTAGGACTAAAATCTATAGCAATTCCATGCCGATCCCTTTAATCGAAACTTTTGCATACAGACCGGCTAAGCAAATGTATGGATGAGGGGTGCGCATATTGGCATTACGATATTGCATCTAAAGTCTACGAGGGAAACGTGCCAGATATGGTAAGTTAACGAATTATCCCTTACTTACTCTCTCTCGCTTACTTTATCACCCTCTCTCTCTCTCTCTCTCTCTCTCTCTCTTTCTCTTTCTCTCGCTTGCTCTCTCTCCCTCCCTTTCGCGCACGCGGGGCTCAAGCAATCAGAAATTACCCAGCTAGGTATGAAAATCTCTAGCTGTCAAGACCTAGTCGAATGGAGGGGTCGATTTTAACCAATTTTCAGATAACATTTCACCGTAATGAGTTTTTCGCTGAAATCCCGGTCGAACGATCTCCATCGAAATATACAGATGATATATCGGCTTGTATCGGAGCTCTGCATTGGTTAGTTGAAGAGAGAAAGAGAGAGAGAGTGAGAGAGAGAGAGAGAAAGAGAGAGATACCCTTCTCTTTCCAGGTTCAACGATTGGCCTCGTCTGATCCTGTATGTAGAAATGGCTCGTCTAAACGGAATCTCTCGTATTCTTGTCACTTGGCAATCGATATCAAAAGAAGTGCAGGCTGTCATTGATTATTATCAACAAAGAGGAATTATAAAACCACATCCATGGCCATTGTTGTCGTTTAATGAAAAGGTACGGCATTTTCTCGTAGTTTAGAGGATACCTTACAGCTTTTATATAATTTCAGAGAGATCCAAATTCGAATGTCTACATTGTCAGTCACAATCTCTTCACTCAACATTGTAATTTCTGGTCGAGCAGCAAGTATACGTTTTTGAGTGATGTCGATGAGATGCTGTATATGAGGTGGGGCAAACAGAGAGAGAGAGAGAGAGAGAGAGAGAGAGAGAGAGAGAGAGGATGAGAGCGGGGAGAGAGACAGAGCTATCTTCAGATACCATAACAAGACGCTGTATGATCTTTTGGAAACCTGGACCAGAAATAAAAAGATATAGGTATGTTTTGTTGATCCTGCAAATTGGTCAGGCTAATTCTGAAGGTATTACTGATATTTTTGCGCTTTTTAACTCATCTACCTTACTTTGAGCCGGCTACAACTTCAAGCACACGCAATTGGCCGTCAAAATGGCGCCTCAACCATTCGAATTTGAGGAATTTTTGAAGCTGGATGGCTTGAGGAAGCCGAAAGCGTACGCCGAGTACAGATTTCCCAAGGTACCACGTTTTTGAAATTCATTTTTGTGTTACTGCTCGCTTTGCGGGGGGGGGGGGTTGGCGTCATGTTAATTTTTTTAAGTAATTGTGCAATAATAACGATTCTATGGCCCTTACACATTTAGACTTTTTAGGTAGAAAAGCTCGTCAGAAGATGCAAATTTCCGAAAAATACACTTTGAGAAAACGTGCGAAAAATCAACATTTTCAAAATCTCAAACTTTTAAAAATTAAGTAGCATTTGAAACTGGCCAAAAAATACAACAAAAAAAAACCAAAAAAGCTGTATTTCTTAGCGTCTGTTCCGAAATCATGAAAATCTATTTCCAGTCCATCTGGCTGACCGAATACACGCGCGTCGCCTGGGTGCATTACGCGAGGGAATTCTTCGCCAACAAGACGAATTATGATGTGGGTTTTTAGAAATGGAATGAGCATGAGTTTTGGTCTGTCGAGCCCCTTCTTTTAGATCCCTCCCGAAGAGGCGCTCTACTTTCATTTGCGGGAAAATTTCAAGAAGAAGGACGCTGTGATACAGTACCCGGATGTCGAACTTTTTCGAAAGGTTCCACCAGATGTTTCAGAGTCTAGATGCCGAATTTTAGGATGAAACAGATGAAAGACTCCGCGGGATGGCGAGGACGATTCGGGAAATCTTCAAAAACTTCGAACCTGGTTATCGCGCCCCGGTAAACTACGCGTTGATGGAGGAGTGTCGGAGCCAGTGGGTAGATTCATCTTGGACACGCTGACGCGTGGCATACGCGTTGCAGCTTCCGATTGACGCGTTGCCTGTACTTTGCCTTAATAAAGGCAGCTCTCTACAGGATGTCCCAAAAACAACCCCTCCTAACTCGACGCAGAAGTATCGGATCGGAATGGTAGTTACACCATTCGAAAACCCTTGAAATGGATAGTTTGCAATCAATTTCGAAACCATATTTTAATGAATTAAATATTATAATTAAGAATAATATAAAATATATATAAAAATTAATAATTAAATCACGAATTTAACAGCATTAAGAAACGGCCGCTGCATCTAATTAGCGGCTGCTTCCGGTCATATTGCTTGAGGAACTTGGGGCAAATTAGCTGGTATGCGGCCCGGAAAAACCAAAAATTCTTACGAAATGGCTTGTAAAATCACGGGTTACATCAGAAACATAGTTTTGAAGTATGTTGCAAACTCGCCATTTCAAGGGCTTTCGAATGGTGTAACTATCGTCCCGATCCGATACTTCTCAGTCGAGTAGGACAGGGGTGCACTTTCCTTTAGTCGATTCGGGGGTTTGCTGCACATTAAGAATTTGGTGATGGTTTGACCCTGATCTATTAAGGCGCAAAAATAACGGTAAGCATTTAAAATGTAATGATTTTATTTGCAAAAACATGACTTTTCGTTCCAGGCAAAACAAGACTTGCGACGATTCTGGGGTGACCTGCTGGGATTTGCTATCCGAAATGGACAACTGGATTCTTGCTGCACCCACACCGGATAGTTATTATATCCCGGTTTAAAATATCAGGGAAGCGCCAAAATCGACGCCGGCATAGACTAGGGATCAATAACCGACAAAATGCACAGAAATTTCTTGGCTTAAAAACTGCGGGTTCTCGACAGAATAAATAAATTCGTTGCTGTGAAAAATCAACAACAAGCAAAAACAACCAATATGCAAACCACGCTCCCCAAAAATTCACACAATTCAAATTTCCTGGAAATTATTAAATCAAAAAATGTGGCGCTTTTTTGGTGAAGTGTCCATTTTCTCGGGGATTTGTTCAATTTTATATAGGCATAAAAAAACGAATGGCATAAAAGCGGTGTGCTGTCGAATTCATAAATCCATCGCCACGGCTACCCGAAAAGAGGACGTTTCTCGGAACATGGCTCGCTAGAAATTCAATTTAAATGGCTAAGAAGTTGTGAGATCCTACTTTGCTGAATTCTTAATGCCCTTCTATTGTTTCTGTTCTACTGGGCTATTAGCGGGGGGGGGGGGGTTAGCGCGTTTCACAGTAGCCCGTATGGCCCTATGACGAAATACAAACCGTTTTTTTTCAAATTTTACACGGTCCTTGGCAATAAAAACTTCATAAAAAATTGCAAAAAATGTGGAAAAAGTTGATTTTTTGCTAAAAAATGCGTTAAAAACGACAGGAAATTCAAATTTTTGGCTATTTTGCATAACTTTGTGTAGACATATGCAACGCTAAAAAATACATCTAAGAGAGCCCCCCCCCGCTAAGGGCCTTTTCTGTTGCAAAATCTGATCCCGGTTGTCCGGGGGGAGGGTGGAGAAGTTCAGGTCGATTTTTCGGGAGTGTTATTTGTGATGGGAAACTCGCAACTTTTGCATGCACGCCATCAAAATCGCATTAATTCATTGTGCAGTGAGGGTGTCGAAACTTTCCTAGGGAATTTCATTCCCAAGGAGTTGGAGGCGAACTCTCAATAAACCTTGTTCTCAAACGTCTTTCAGGTTTCCAGTATACGCAACTAGACACTGCCATTTGAACACCGATCGCGCGCTCGTAATTTAGATTAGGTTAGGCGTCGTAGATTAGAGGGTGGCAACCTTCCCTTCCCTTTTATATATTTCCTATTTACCATTTTACACTTTCGGAAGGGTTGGGGTCTCTTTTCATTCGACAGAGGGTATAGAAGTTTGGAAATGCCGACAAAACGTCGTTTATGGGGGTGCTGTCAAAATTCGGCATTCACGATACCGAAACGATGCTTTTGGGCATTCTGAATGTCGGGATTCTTGTCAGTGTTTTGGCACTTCGGAATTTTTGTGCCTCGAACTTCCTGCTTTCGATATTTGGCATGTCATGGTTTTGCTCTGTCGATATTTTCAATTTTGGGTTTATCCGGATTTTGGCTTGCCTGCAGTTTTAACGTCAACAGTTTCAAAGTGACATATATTTAAAAAAGCGGAAGACTGCAATTCCACGCATGCGGAAGTTGCAACTTCTTCCCACTTTCGCCCTGCTATCACCCCAGCGACTGATTGTTGTGCTTCCTGAAATTTGGGTCAGCATGCGCGCGGCTGGGGGGAAATTTTTCCGCACCCGGATGTTCAGATTTCACTCGCCCCTCTCTCTATCTTTCTCTATCAGATTCACTCTTGCGCTGACCCTTTCGTTTCTTTTTGTACTCTGTCTAAAGGCAGAAAAATAAGGTTTACAGGTTATTGCATGACTATATGCGTCACCACGCTGCGGACCTATAATTAGAATAACTTGTATATTATCCGTTATGTCGTTTACAGTCAAGGTTAGTGTATTCTACGCGTTTTGAAAGCAGGCTAAACTCAGGTAGGCTATACAGGGTGTCCCAAAAAAAATCGACCCCTCTAGCGGGCCGCAGTCATGTCCGATTTTGACGATTTAGATACCTATCGAAAGCACTCGAAAAGGCGAGAAAACAAGCACTTTTCGTTTTTCAATATGGGAATTTTAATTCATTAAATTTAGGGCCAAAATCGATGAAAACTGCAGATTTTATGCAAAATCGGCATGTTAATTGCTTGCTAAAGCAAACAGGACGATGCTGGGTTTACGCTTTTTACAGAAATCATTGAATATCGAGCGAAGGCTAAAATTTTTTGGAAAACCAAAGGCGCTTGTTTTCTCACCGTTTGAAGGGCTTTCGAATGGTGTGAAAATCATTCCGATCCGAGCTTTCTGCGGTCCGCTGGAGGGGGTCGATTTTTTTTGGGACACCCTGTATATTTGATTGGTGTTCAATGGTGTGAAAACGAGCGTGTCGGCGTCCCAGCGACCCAGTCATTGAAAAGCCTTGATTTTTTCTACCTTGCTTCTTTAATACCAGATTGCAGAAACTCGTGCCGATATTACTCTCCATTGGAGCATTCACCGTATACCTCAACACCCCAAATTTCGACTATGAGCTTCCGGTCTGGTAAGTTTCAGTTGTTTCAAATAGATTCATCAGAAGTGATTTTTAGGTTATCCCAAAATCGATTAGATGGGGTGAAATCTATACATCAGAAGATATTTGAAAATTACTACCCGTCTAGACGAAACGGCCGTAAGCCTACAAAATCAAAATATGGCAACGCTGCATTTGACGCATCAGCTTATGAAGGAGCGATGGATGATGATGCTGTTTACGTCTACAAGGCTTATTATGACTTAAGGTACGTAAAGTAAAAGTTCCGAAAATACACAAATACACTTTTCGGGGCTCATGCTATAAATTTCATAGGTATCTTTCAAAAGGATCTGTTTTAGGGACCCAGCCGGCCCTCGAATCCGCGTCCTCTTGACATCAAACTGCAGCACACTCGCTTCAAATCAGACCGTTTTGGATCTCAGGATAGAAGGAAAATCGATCGGGATCGGCTGGGAAAAGATGACTAATGGAGGTAGGTATCTCTCTCTGTCTCTCATTCTCTCTCTCTCTCTCTCTCTCTCTCTCTCTCTCTCTTTCTCTCTATCTCGCTCCCTCGTCTATCTGAAGCGCCTTTCACGGCGCTTTCAGGCAAGCTGCAGGATTGCAAGGGCAGGGGCTGCTCGTTTTGGCATTACGATATTGCTTCTGAAGTTTATAATGGAACTGTACCGGCTACGGTAGGCCATCGTAATTCCCTAAATCTCAAAAATCCAGATAACATTCCACCGCAACGAATTTTCGGCTGAAATTCCAGTCGAGCGATCACCATCGAAATATACGGACGATGTTTCGGCTTGCATCGGAGCGTTGCATTGGTATGTTAGAGAGCGAGAGAGAGAAAGAGAGAGAGAGAGAGAGCGCGCGCGAGAGAGACCCTCCGCTTTTCAGGTTCAACGATTGGCCCCGTCTGATCCTGTATGTAGAAATGGCTCGTCTAAACGGAATCTCTCGTATTCTTGTCACTTGGCAATCGATATCAAAAGAAGTGAAGGCTGTCATCGATTATTATCAACAAAGAGGAATTATACAACCACATCCATGGCCATTGTTGCCCTTTAATGAAAAGGTACTGTATTTTCTCGTGTTTTAACGGGATTACGGTATTAGAGGATACCTTACAACCTTTATATAATTTCAGAGGAATCCAAATTCGAATGTCTACATTGCCAGCCACAATCTCTTCACTCAACATTGTAATTTTTGGTCAAGCAGCAAGTACACGTTTTTGAGCGACGTGGATGAGTTGCTGTATATGAGGTGGGGCAAAGAGAGAGAGAGAGAGAGAGAGAGAGAGAGAGAGAGAGAGAGAGAGAGAGAGAGAGAGAGAGAAACAGACAGAGAATGAGGAAAGGCGGGAGAGTAAGCGTGAAAGAGAGAGATAGAGAGGATCGACCGATCGATCAAAGAGCGGCTTTCAGATACCATAACAAGACGCTATTCGAGTTGTTGGAATCTTGGTATAGGAAAAAGAAGGATATAGGTAAGCGTCGTGGACCTTAAAGGTGCCCGCAAGCCTGAAATTCGACCGTTGAGCTTCACTAGGTCTGGACAAGTACGCCGCGTCGTGCGAAAAGCAAGTGAAAGCGCGGTTTTCCCCCGATCCTCGCGGTAACAGGCGGCGACAAAACGGGAAACAAAGTGTAATTTGACATAACGGGTGGCTGTCAGGACCTAGTCGAAGCAAGAGAGAAAATTTATCGCGCAAATTTCATCGTTACTGGCAAAAACAGTGTTGGTTTCAGCCGGCTTCAAGTTCAAGCACACACCGCTTGCCCTGAAAATGGCCTCGAATCCGTTTGAGTACGAGAAGTTTCTGGAGTTGGAGCCGCTGCGGAAGCCATTGACGTACGAGGGATGGCGATTTCCAAAGGTAAGCTTTGTGTAACCTCCAGACAGCAAATATCCTAGAAATAGAAATAAGCTACGTAACGTAGCGATATTGTTTTTTAAACTAGATAGATAACAAACTGCCGCAAAATAAGGAAAAATTGCGTCCACGTTCCGTGTCGCGGGCGGCAATTTCCACGCGCCATAGCCAAAAATCAAAATCCATGCCTTGCACGCCCCTTTAAAAACTTTTTAGTCAATCTTTTTGACCGAATACACGCAGATTTCGTGGGTGCATTACCCGAGGGAATTTTTTGCGAAGAAGAAAAATTATGAGGTTGGTTTTTACAATTGCTATTTCTATACAATAATATACCTAGATACCCGCCGACGAAGCGTTGTACTTTCATCTACGTGAAAACTTCGAGGATGCCAATGCTACAGTACTATACCCGGATGTTCAGCTATTCCGCCAGGTTCCGAATTACACATCCTCACATCTAGAGTCTTATTAATTTACAGGAAGAGGTCGATCAAAGAATCTGGTTGATAGCAGACACGATCCGAGACATATTTCAAGACACCGTGCCAAAGTATCGTACCCGCGAGCTCTATGCCGCAATGGGCGAATGCAGAAAACGGTGGGTCTATCCAAAATTTGGGATTTCAAGGGGGATACGGTAGTTGAGTCAGGTGGCTCTAAGAGGCATGCTCAAACTACACGAGCTTTCTTTTTTTTCAGAAAAGGCAAAAAATGCGAGGACGCGAGCGTGGGCTGCTGGGACGCGTTGTCTGGAATGGACGATTGGATCTACGCGGCACCCACTCCAAACAGCTATTATATCCCGGTTTAATGGGGTGCACGCCCAAATGGTCTTTACGTCCCTTTAGCGTTCAGAGATTTGCCTGATTCGTCGGAAGTCATCCCGAAATTTGACCTACAGGCTAATTTAGGCAGTTTTTTCTTATTATCATTCAATCCAAAATCCAAAATGATGTTTGTCGTGCCTTGATTACCGTTGTCAATAATTAACAGATCCTGATGAACAAAGCCAGATAATTTTTATTTTTATTTCTTTGATTGTACGACAAATTGGTCCGTACTGGTCCATTTCTTCTCAACTTTATGCGGGTAATAAAATTGATTCCGTTTTTTCATGCAATAGAATACGCACAAAAATAAGCACAACCTACCGGCAAACGCTATAAAAACTTAAAGTTCCTTCAGGCACTCGGAATTTCCAATTTTTTTGTTTTTTAACGATTTTATACGATTTATTGGATGAATTTAGCCCGTTTCAAGTCGAGGCCATGCAATCAGATTACACCATGCTGGATAAAGATTCTGGCGCAGGTCCAAGGTCTCCAAAACCTTTGGATCGTCCATTAATTTACCGCATGGTATGAACGTTATTAAAAAATCACGTACGATTCCAGCAACGCTTTGTCCTGTTGTTTTTCGTCGTGACGTTCTGGTTTCTGTGGTCAAACGTGGAATGGTAAAAAAAATGCAATCTTTTGCATTAAAACATATTATAAATCGAGAATCCGAGGGCTTAAGAAATAGCTTGTGTTCGTGGAAAAATTACACCCATTTGCAGGCAGTACGAACTGTTTGGAGACTCATTCTTGGAAGATGGCAGGTCGTCCCAACCCCCGAATCCGAACTTTTACAACGGGACGGATTGGGCCCGAGCGTATCATCGCGGAAATTTGACGAATGAGACGATATTTATACATAAGGCTTTTTACGATACTAGGTGAGGACCACTCTCGCTCTCTCGCCCCCGTGGATCTCTCGCTCTCCCGCTCTCTCTTTCTCCTCCTTTCACATCGAGGAGAAAGAGAGAGAGACAGAGAGAGAGAGAGAAAGAGAGAGAAAGAGAGAGAGAGAGAGAGAGAGAGAGAGAGAGAGAGAGAGAGAAAGAAACAAAGAGTGAGAGAGCGAGCGACAGCGCACACCAAAAAAAAAGATAGAGGACTGCCTTAAAATCTGCTTTTAGAGACAAAGGTGGCCCAAGAATCAAACTCCTGGTGACAGCCGATTGTCCCGGGATTCAGGATCGTATCGAGATAAATGTGGATGGCATTCCGATTGGAGTGGAGACCAGGACTTGTACTAGTGATGGTAGGTTTTCTACCTTTTTTTTGTAAAAACCTGTGGACGCTAAAAACCTATCTTTACAGCCAGATGCCCGTCAAATCAGATTTGCAAGTATTGGCATTATGACGTGGAGTCGACAATATGGAGGGGACCAGTTCCAGATACGGTAATTAAGCTAAGCCAAATTTCCAGCTAAGCCTAAGCTAAGCCTAAGCTAAGCCTAAGCCCAAGCCTAAACCTAAGCTAAGCCTAAGCTAAGCCTAACTGTAAAGTGTTTTTACTCAGGCTGGCGTTTTGGAATGGGACCAAGACTATCTTGTTCAGAATTTTTTGCTGATTCCGAATCCGTTCTCCAAATTTGCTGCGGACTTTGCGTTGAAAAGTCATTTCAGCTCGAAATTAAGCTAAAAAACGGCATAAATTCGGATGCTGGCCCACTATTCCCTGTGGGGACCCAGGTATTGCTGTGTCCCTGATCTACCCTTACGAAGCCCCCTATCCGGTTGGCACCATGGTGCATTGGCAAGGTGTTCGCTTGCCAAGCACAGTGCCGCGGTTCGAACTCCGCCCTGCACAATTTCTTTTGCTTTTTGCGCAAAAACAGATAATTTTTTGCATAAAATCGTGATTTGATCTCTAAAACCGTTTCCGACCCAGTTTTAACGTTGAAGATGAAGACAACTTAAGAATAACGCAAAAAAATCCTGATTTTGGCACTTTTTATAGCATAAATGTCAAATAACTTTTTAAATAAAAGTCGGCAGCAAATTTGGAAATCAGATTCGGAATCAGATTCGGAATCAGCGCAAAATTCTGCACAAGATAGCCTTGGTCCCATCCCAAAACGCCAGCCTGAGTAAAAACACTTTACAGTAAGCTAAGCCTAAGCTAAGCCGAAGCTAAGCCTAAGCTACCTGTTCCAGATTACCGTAAGCCGAGGCCGAGGCAAAAATATGTCCACCTCGGCTCCAATCCCTTTGATCCAGATTCCGGCCGAGTACACGGATACGGTATCCGCGTGCGTGGGACCGTTGTATTGGTTTGTAATTTGTAGTCTGTCGTTTTTAGGCTCTAGGTATAACGACTGGCCGAAGATGGTGCTGTTCGTCGAGTGGATGAAGCGGTTGGGGGTCGCAAAGTAGGGTTTTAACGGCTTTAAAAATTCGTAGTGACATTGATGCCTTAAAATATAAGTTTACGCGGGAGAAGCAGGTGTTAAAAGCGAGCAGATGTTAGCCTGATACTAGGCATGTCCTCACCTAGATCGCTCCCTGTCTGTCAACCCCACTAGCCACCCACCTGGCCCACTATCCCTACTCATCACCCCTCCCTTCCCGTCCGAATTATCGCTTCTGGCCTCTGGCTATGATCAATTGTTTAGTAAATGTTCTTATCGGCTTAATCTCCGATACGTATACTAATTGTATACCAAGAGATTAACATATTTTTGGAAAGGGTTCGGTTAGCAGAAGCTTGCTTCTCGCCGAACAGCGTCGACCCGGTCATTGCACTTACTGGCGGGAACGGCGCACACCCCGGAAAGGGGTGAACCATTCAAAAACAAAAATTTCTGATCTCTCATCACTGTTGTTATTAAAAATGTTATAATACACTAATTCTCCAGAATACTCTTCACCGTCCAATCGGTCAGCCGTGATGTCCAGAAAGTGATTGACCATTATAAACATGAGGTAACTTTCTAATTGATCGAAAAACATGGTTTCAAAGGGTATCGTCGAGAGCCATGGATGGCCACTACTACCATTTAATGAAAAGGTAAGTAACCCACGGAAACGGGCCCGACATCACTTTTTCGTATAAACCAGTCAGCCAGTATAAACTTATTCCAGCTCGATCCAAATCACGGAGTCTACTACGCCATGGACAATCTAGATACCCAGCATTGCGCCTATTGGACAAAGAGTAAATATACGTATATTGGAGATGCGGATGATTTTATATATTTAAGGTATGGTTTGGAAAGAGCAGGAGATTATCTAATTCTTGCGTTTCAGAAATCGCTCCCAATCATTGTTCGATTTTTGCGAGGAAAGCCGAAAATCGGATAGGATGATGGGTAAACTTTTGGTTATATCTTTCTCGCTCACTCTCACTCGCTCTCTCTCTATCTCTCTCTCACAATCTCTTCCTCTCGCTGTCTCTCTCTAATTCCCTCTCGCTCTTTCTCAATCTCTCTCTCGCTCTCTCTCTCGCTCTCTCTCTCTCTCTCCCACTCGCTTTTTCAGGCGGACTAGCCTTCAAGCACTACGGCTTCTCGATGCACCCCGGCTTCGTCCCATTCCCCTACGGTTTCGACGCGTTTTTGCGCCTTCAAGGCCTCCGGAGCGTTACTGCCTTCAAGAATAAGCGCGACCCAAAGGTATCACATTTTTAAGGGCTTTCTATTTATTGCATTTCTAGACAATTTTCATGTCCCAACACATCAAAATGGCATGGATCCACTATCCACGGCAGTATCACCACAATCGGCATACGGTAGAGGTGAAATTCACCTAAAAAATTGGTATTCAAGAGACTAGGAAGTGTAGGAATCAACCCCGTTCCGTCGCTAGGTCTAGACAGCGTGAAAACGAGAGCACCAAAAACGTTAGGCTGCGGCAAAGGTCTGAATTTAATGCTCTGGTGTTTTGGTGTGGCGCGTAGTTGTCGAGGCCTAGTCGACGGAGGAGTTGATTCTCGATATTACTACTCCATTTAAAAGGCTTGTGTAGTCCTAATTTTTGAGGTGCCAATCTCAAAGGGCATCTACCTACACGCCAGGCAAGACTTTGACAACAACGACGACCCCAACCGCTTTTCCTACTTGAAATACTTTGAAGACGTAGGTTTTTGTTACCGGTCAGAAAAAGGTCAGTGCGTTGCCGGTGCGTGGCGGTTGCGTCGCTTTTCACTTTTTTTTGTGGCGCAGCTTTGCTGAGAATTGATGCTCCCTAGATTTTTCGGTCCTGGCCTGTTAAGGGGGGAGGATCTTTAACAAAGTGAATTAATCTCCGACCGGCCCTATAACGAAATATAATTCATTTTTATTGCTTTAAACGCGGTTTTAAAATATGAAACAACACATAAAAAATTGACTGTGTGGTCAAAAATATATGAAAAATCAAAAAAATAGTCACAATATTTTAAGTGGAAAATCGTTAGACCCCGGTCGCGTCGCATATCCGACACACAGCGCACCCGCAGCGCGTCTCCATGCCATAATTGTTTAGGCCGAAATGGAGAAAGGCTTGGCAGGACTTCGACAAGTTTTTCGGGACATTTTTGGCTCGTCGGAGCCAGAATACCGGGGCCGCGACTCCGAGGTGGCCATGCTCAATTGTAAGAGGAGGTGGAGTCATTAGTAATTTACCTAGTAATACACTAAAAATGATAAAACTAATGGTACAAATTTTTGTTAGGGAAAACGCGACTTCCGGCTGTCGTGACAACAGCGTTTCTTGTTACCCGGATATGGCCTACGTGGATGATTGGATCTATACGGCGCCCAGTGAGGAGAGCCACCATTTGCCTTTATGATATATTTATTAATTTATTTTTTAAGGTCGGTTTGAAAATAAAGAGCTTGATTCCTAGAGCTAGATTGGGTCAGAGCTTTCCTGGTTTAAAAAGCTGAAAAAAACCCTAATTTGCATGCCAAAAATATATAACGCTCGCGAATCGACCCCTTCCAAAGCCTAGGTGTCTCGTTACGCTTCATGCCGAAAAATCCGTGTAATAGCAAGTGAAACTATACTTTTCCAAGCACGGACTTCACAGCAAATTTTCGCTGGCTGTCGCAAAGGCTGCATGTCATTAAAGGGCAAACATCGAGTTTTCGGTGTCCGCTTTGCTCCGGATGCGCAAAAAATGAACAGAGACGGGATCAAACCGAAAAGCTGTGCAAACAGGAACGTACAATTGTTTTAATGTCAAATCTTCCTGCGTTCGGCTTACAATGCGTGTTTTTTGAGTCATCGGCGAACCTTACAGACCTAGCTCATACGATAAAGGATTCTGAACAAGGCTCTGTTGTCTTTTTTTTGCGGAATGGCTATCCCTGATTTGATACAATTTTAAAACTGCACCCGAAAGGGTCGCTTTTCGCTCGAAGGGCGCTTATGTTAAGAGACGGCCACTAGTTTTTGAATTTTATAAACTCGGAGACAGCTATTCCGCATAAATGAACAACGACATCTTGTTCAGTATTCAATTCTCTATTGAATGAGCTAGGTTTCGTAAATTTTGCCGATGACTCCGAGAGCACTCCTTGTTAGACTTGATATAATGATGTTCTTCCGTAGTTATGACTGTTACTTTAAAATGCTTCGTATAATTCCTTGCGCTGGCGCTCTAAAAACGGATAATCCATTTTTAAACTAATTTTTGTTAACGCATTTCCAAAAGTCATTTTTAAAAAAATCATTTTTCCTAAAGTTCATTTTTCCTAAAACCGGCTACATACCAAAAATTATTTTAGGAAAAATGAAAATAACCGCTTTTTCGCCACATTTAAAAATATGCCGTAGCTGTCCGTGATTAATTCAGGTCTCCGCACTGTGAAACATGTTAAGTTAGCGTCGAATATAGCAGGGTCAGATGTTACGAGGGTGTACGAAATCTTCCCAGCTTTATGACATGTAAGTCGGGCATTTCCCCCCTTGAACATGCAAGATTGAGTACTTATCAGAAAGCCGGGGTGTGGCCGGCGAGCTGAACTTCCCCTTATCACGATGTCCTGAAAAATCCATGTGGCGCAGGGCATTTGCCATAAATATAAAATGCGTGTCGGCTAGATTCTATAGACACTCATATGCTGTTTCGCTGAACTTCCTTCTCGGATTTGCAAATATTTGTTTAGCGCTTTCTGCCTCTATGAAATTTATGACGATCCAAGATTCTTATTATTTGGATTAAGATCAATTTATTCGTATTTGTGATTTTAAACCCTGAAACCTCTCTCTCTCTCTCTCTCTCTCTCTCTCTCTCTCTCTCTCTCTCACACTCTTTTGGTCTTTATCACTCTCCCACTCTGTCTCTTCCACTCGCTTTCTCTGTCTCTCGCTTTTTCTCTCTCTCTCTCTCTCTCTCTCACACTCTTTTGGTCTTTATCACTCTCCCACTCTGTCTCTTCCACTCGCTCTCTCTGTCTCTCGCTTTTTCTCTCTCTCCCCTCTCTCTCTCTCTCTCTCTCTCTCTCTCACTCTCGCTCACCCTCTCTGGCGTTCTGGCTCTCTCACGAGCTCTGTAAAGCTTTTTTCTAGAATCTTCATATACTAAACCGCCGCAGTACAAATAAAAATATCCGCCAACTTTTTAAAATGCATACGAAGTCCAAGGTATATTTTATAGATTTGTAATATGAAAAACTTTAGAAGTTAATTTTCTTCTTATTCCTAGCCTTGGCCACATATTACTGGATTGATTTTGCGCGGTTGACGAGTCGTATATGGTGGATCCGCTTCGAAAGCTATAATATTTTCGCATTTCAGGTTTAACCCTCGGCCTCTAAGTAAATACGAAGTCTTCCGGCAGTACTACCCAAAAATCGAAGCCCAGCGTAATCTCTCTTATCATGGGTCGAATTGGGACAAGTCCTACTATCGATTCGACATCCCGAACAACGCGATATTTGTGCATAAAGCGTTTTATGATTTAAGGTGGGTCATGGGAGATGCACCGCAAAATCAAGTTTTACTTTTGGCACTCAAGAAAAATTATAGTCATCCCTTGCGCGTCCCTTTAAAGTGTCTAGGATACGCAAAAATTGACCCAGCAGTAGGCTAGATCCCGAATGCTACGCGACAGACCCATGGTCGCGTATCGTTTTAGCGTACTTCTTCTACGTGGCTTAGCGTAGCGTAGGATGACCATAGCCCTGAAACAACACCAAAAAGCGATGTGCGTCCTTAGGTTTGCCGCGTAGCTGCGGAGACCTAGTTGCTATAGTACCTAGTTGTTCGCGCTTCATAGACACTTTTCACAACCTAACTTCTCGGGTTATAGATCATTATGTGAATTTTTCAGAGACCCAGCTGGTCCTCGAATCCGAGTGATCGTTACTGCCACGTGCGCCGGAATCGGGGACGAGATCGACATTCTGGTGGACGGCGCGGCGATAGGTGTCGAGTGGAAGACGTGCACGAATTCGGGTAAGACAAAAGAGAGAGTGAGAGAGAGAGAAAGAGCGGGAGCGGGAGTGAGAGGTAGAGACAGATAGAGAGAGATGGAAAGAGATGGAGACACCGAGAGACCGACCCCACAAGCACAACTCCAAGACGTTCAATCCCCTTTCAGTAAAATGCCCAACAAACGAAGGCTGCCCATATTGGCACTACGATATTGCGAGTCGGGTCTATAAAGACCGAGTGCCTGATACGGTAGCTAAAACCGTTAAATCGTTAGCAAATTTAGATACATGTCAGTCGCCGTAATAATAGGACAGCAGCACTACAAGTGGTGCCACTCGATCGATCCCCGTCAAAGTATTCGAATACGGTGTCAGCTTGTATTGGACCGTTATATTGGTAAATTGACAATTCTTAGCTTTAAAGGAAGGGAGAGAGAAAGAGAGAAAGAGACAGAGAGAGAAAGAGAGAGATGTAGAGAGAGAGAGAGAGAGAGAGAGAGAGAGAGAGAGAGGAGAGAGAAAGCCAGCAGCTCATATCCCGGTGCAATATTTGGATTTAGGGCAAATGACTGGCCTCGAGTGATTCTCTTTGTTGAATACTGGAAGAAGCTGGGGATCAAAAAGTACGTGATTTCATCTTGAAAACCGATGATTCCCTTAGAATCCTCTTCACACCCATCGTCGTCTCGAAAACGGTACAACGCGTCATTGATTATTATAAGAAACAGGTAATCCTTTGGCGAGAGCAAGAGAGCGAGAGAGAGAGATAGAGAGAGCGAGAGAGAGAAGAGTGAAGAGAGCCAAGTACATTTTTCTAGGGTATTGTCGAAACCCACGGCTGGCCTCTACTACCTTTTAACGAAAAATTGGATCCAAATTTTGGGGTCTACGTGGTCAGCGACAATTTGGATACTCAGCATTGTGCTTTTTGGTCTTCTAGCCGCTACACTTTCGTTGGGGATATTGATGAGCTGCTTGTCATTAGGTAAGTCCGATTGTCTCTTTAGCCCTCCGTCTCTCGCTCTCTCCGTCTCTCTCACTCTCTCTCTTTCTTTGTCTCTAATTGTCCTTTTAAGAAACACCTCACAATCCCTCCACGACTATGTCGCTGGCGTCGACAAGAAGAAAAAGGATCTAGGTATCCAAAAATTCCAGTAAAAATATGACGTTTTTGAGGTGGTCTCCTCTTTCCCCACGTTGCTCTGGGCTTGAATCCACCACTCGCCAAGAACCCCTTCAATTTCAACGATTATCTGAAGCTGGACGGCCTCAAGAAGCCGATCTTATTTGCTAACAATCGGGCTCCAAAGGTATCTGAAATTAGTAGATCTGGAGAATACTGTTTAGTCGATTTTCGTGACCGAGTCGGTGAAGATTGCCTGGATACACAGCCCAAGGGCACATTTCCGGGGCAGGAGAAATCATAATGTGAGTCCCTTTTTAAAATCTTTAAAGGCCTGGCTATGTCTAACGGTTTTTGGCTGCGGGTTCCCCCATGGACTTCGCTTGTGTGATAGATTTTTTTACTGTTTTTTGTTGCATTTTCAATGGGTTATGCATTGCAACCCCTTCCTGGCGATCAAGCCGCTTTGCACATCGCGGAGCGGTAAATCCATAAGGAGTTCAATGTCTCAAAAACAGCGATAATAAACGTGCCGTGCCCGCCCTTTTAAAGGGCTCCGAACTCCCAAATTCCTTTTGGGAGGGCTCTTTGATTTCTGGCAAATTGCCAGCGGGCGCTGCGGGACGAGAGCCCCCACTCTTTCGATTTTTGCACGAAGTTGTTTTTGCCCGGTTTCTTTGTGGAAACACTATAATTCGCACATTCTGAGCCGATTTTTGAAATCCTCACTCAATTTTAAGTAGTTTTGGTGTTTTAACCCATCCAATTTGGCCCAGAAACAGCCGAGAACGTGATCAGGAGGTGACAACAGGCCATTTCAAATTTGCGGGCTTCCCGCGACCCTATGTGTGCAGAGGCCTCCCACGTACAGGGCTCTGATTTTCGGGCCGTCACTCAATTTTCGGCATTTCGTAGCCCCTTTAAACCACCTTTTCCAGGTACCCGCCAAAGAAGCCATCTACTTGCATGCACGCGAGAACTTTGAGCGGGATTTTGTGAACAAAACGATGTTGTTTACGGATGTGCAGTTGTTTACGGAAGTAAGCTTTTTAAAGGGACTGGGAAGTGGGGAAATCATCCCCCTTGGCTGACTCGGCGTCGACAACTAGGTGATGCCTCAAATTACACATCTCCTCTATAACCCTACGGAGATGAGCGTAGCGCAAACGTTGTTTCGCATCATAGCGAGAGATCGCGCTGGCACGCGTCAGTTGGCGCGTCGCGTAGCTGGCAAGATCTAGTGGATGGAGGGGTCGAGTTTTGGCGCTTTGAATTTAATGGAAGAAAACATATCGCTTAACTGTTTTATTTCAGTCAGAGCTGGAAAACATTCGAAAGGCCGCTTCTGAAATCTTCATCACCGGCCCTCCAAGTTATAATGTGGATAAGGTGTTGAAAGAGATGGATGCTTGCCGGAAAAAGTAACCTAATCTGAAACCCCGCTACGTTAATTGGCTTTGAATGGTGTACGCTGTACCTTGTGCCTATCTACCGTATGCTAAAAAAAGAATTACCGGATCAGGCTGAGTAATTCCCTTTGTTTGGCTATAACGTGCGTAATTGCGCAAATTCAGCAATTCCAGGAGCCTGGCCAAAACGAGATGTCGTGATCAGGTTGTGTCCTGCTACGCGGAGATGATCAAATTGGATGACTGGGTGTTTACGGAACCGACAGAAGAGAGCTATTATATTCCTGTTTAAGCGACTTTGCAATATGAATAAATACGGGTTGCGCACGAAATTAGGGTTATCTCTATCTCTTTCACTCTCTCTCTCTCTCTCTCTCTCTCTCTCTCTTTTTCTCTATCTCTGTCTCTCTAATTCGTTTTAGAAACGCTTCCCAATCCCTTTTTCTCTCTCTCGCTCTCCCTCTTTCTCTTTCTCTCTCTCGTTCTCGCGTTCTCTCTCTCTATCTCTCGCTTGCTTTCATTCTCTATCGTATTCCCCTGCTGCAAAATTTCTGATGACTTTTTGCCTACGCGAGGCTCCACGTGACGCTTTTTAAATTCTGAAATTTCACTCCCAAATTTCGAAAACAACCTTTTTAGTCCTGGCAATTACAGGGAAGAGGCGCGGAACACAAGGGTGCCTCCTACCGACCATTTCCCTGGGGGCTTAATCAACGCAGTCCTCATAAAATTCACAGAATTTTGGCAGTCGATCGTAAAATTTTTGGGATGCTATTTCATTTCTGGGTTCTTTCGGAATTCTTCCACCCCGTCTCCTAGGACGGAAAGATTCTCGTCTCTATTAACATCTGGTGACCGTACTACTTTGTAATCTTAGTTTTTAGTGATTTTAAAGAAGCTGGAACGAGGCTATGCCACGCCAGTAGTCAGTTAGTAATCTTTTTGCCCCGCCACGTCACGCGACGCCCGCGGGCTTTGAAAGTTGCCTGCGTTGCGTGATGCGGCCCGTTGCGTCGCGTTGCGGCCAGACAAAAAGATCTTATCATTATCCTTAGCTAGGCAAGTTCATTTACGCGCCTTGCCAGCTTTTTTAAAGGCACTAGTAAGCCAAGAATCTTTCCGCCTAGCTTCCAGGTCTGAATACCTATTTGACGCGCCAAACTGTACCTTTAATTTCAACCTAAAAATTCGAAAAACCTAGGGTTGGATATCTCGCATCTCATCTATATCATCTCCTTGAACCCGTGATTTGGAATTTATTCTAGCGGTCCTGATTTAGTCGAAGCAATGGGCCGATTCTCGCACTTCCACGTCCCATTAAATTGTAGATTTCGGCACCGGTCATTTTAATCGGGTTGCCACATCAAAAACCATATTTCACTGCCGGTCAGTTAGTAAAGTTCAAACACTCAAAGCTAACCAACGAATTTGTGGAGGATGCCCTTTCGCTGCCGCAAAACTGCACCCTATCATTTGCCTCTTTCTGTAGATGGGTGGTCAGCATTTTTTGCAACTTTCGCCCCCGCGTGTCGTGATAATTCGCTGTGGCTTTTGTGGCTTGATCTGATGTGCTAGTCTGTAGTCTTTCAAGGGGTTTGAATGTGGGTTTAAGGGTACTCGTAAGCGAGGGATTCGACCCCTTCATTGACTAGGTCTCGACAGCTACGAGTCATTCCAAGAGTCTGGCACAAAATGATTTGGATCCTTTGGCTTTACCATAAAATTTGCGGGATTTTAAAAATAAACGATGGTAAATGTCGAATTTCGGGGGAAATCGGGAATGTCGAATTTTTGCATTTGACGTAGCGTAGCTGCCAAGACCTAGTAGAAAATGTGGATCGACCTTTTCTTTTTCTAGCGCTTTTTTGTGATCTGAGAAAAGAGGAAACGCTCGTTTTCGTTCGTTTCGTTCGGGGAAAACCGTATTTTAATTTTTCAAGGATCGGGATTTCGTAAATTTTTTGAAATTGTATCTATATGTGCCTAATTTTATGTGTTACTGCGTTTCTAGAAATATTATAGCACTCCTTAAGTATCTCTAAAATGGCTTCCTGGCCCTTCCAAAAGAATCTCGCCGCTCCGCTACCTGGTTTGTGTGAAGGTGCCGCGCAACTGACGTTTGGCTCTTTATACACGATTCAGGTGCGTTCTTCAAACGTAATTTTTCGGGCCGTTTGAACCCGAATTCAATCTTCAGAATGCCATGAAGACGATGACAAGCCTCGCCTCGCTGCTGCTGATCAGCTACTTGTTCTGGAAGAAGAAATTTTGGATTCACGACCAGCGTCATGAGCTTATTGGTTTCAAGATGCTCGTCACTGCGGTATACGCGCTTAATAATTTTATTACACATGTAAGTGATTTTTTTAGCTTGCTCAAGCATGAATGACGGCTTTAACAAGTTCAGGAAAAAGGGCCCCCTTTTAGGGCCACCTCACTTTCATGCGTATATTTTTTGGGTATGATCCTTGTAATTTGGTGTTTTCGTCCATCTACTGCTTGCCGTTTAAGCTTATTCACGTGAGTTTATAGTCTATGACAGCTAATCGAAGGGAACTATCGATTTGTGCCTATTTTTAGCTCTGCGTCTCCACGTGCCTCTCAACCACCCTGTTGCTCCTTTTGCTGGAGCAGGCTGCAATTATATTCTCGAGAGGAAAGAAGCCGATTACGAACAGATTTACAAAATTGTTTATCGCAATTGAGGTATCGGTTATTACATATGATGTGATTAAATCCTTTATCAAGTATCTGTTATTAAGCTATGAGCTACAAAAATCGCTTTAGTTGACCGGGATGATCGCAATCGCGACCTTTGGAGCGATATCAGAGCTTGGACAAGACTACCAGGTTCTTCACTGTATGGAGGATACGCCGGTAAGGAGAGAGAGAGAAAGAGAGAGAGAGAGAGAGAAAAAGCGCGAGAGAGATAGACAGACCTAAACCTTCTTTCGCAAAACGCAGTGTATTTCAGACAATAATGCCCCTCGTCAACGCCGTCAGCACGCTGGTGCTTACTGTAGATACGATCACCGTAGTCACATCTCTCTTAATCTGTGCGTTTAGCCACTGGAGGTTACAAAGACGGTAAGAAATTTTATTTTTTGACGATTTTAGAAACTTTAGGAGCCGCTCAATCGGCCCTTCAGTAGGAACAGGAAGTGCCACTCTAAAAGGCGCATATGCGTTACGGTACTCGGATATGGTGGTGAAGGTATGGATCTGGCAATCGGCGAAAAATAGCGTTTTTCAGACCCTGCTCCCAGTCGTTCTGATCCACACTACCATCATCTACATCTTTAATATATTTTCCATTATCCAGCGCTCATTTATTGCTCAGATCTCAGATTATGTGACCCGGAAGAGCTATCAGGGCCTGGGAAATGTAAGTTTTTAGTCTAAAGGGGCGGAGAAATGCCAGAATTTACCCGACCTATCGGCTGGGTCTTGACAGCCACGTCATGCGAACTACTGACCAAAAATTCTAACGTGAAAACGTCAAATACCATTGGTTTTCACGGCGTCGTTAAGACGACCGACCGCAAGTGTCGTTTGGAATGTAGCGTAGCTGTCGAGAGTTTTTGGTGTACTGGCCACACATTTTGAAATGCCAAGATTGAGGTGTTTTTTCCGGGTTAATAGTCTCGTTACAAATTTGTGCGCGGTTTTTCGAACCGTGTAGGCGCAACTGTGTAGTTGTCGTTTCGCGTTTCTCTTGCTCACTCTCTCTCTCTTTCTCTCTCTCTCTCTCTCTCTCTCTTCGCTACAATATCCACCAATTCAGATCCTGCCCTACTACACGCTCCTATGCCCCATCCTGTACGTGTGGGCCCTCGGGAAATTGCGGAAGAGGTTTGTCATGTCTAAATTGGGATGGGATCTGGGACCACCTGATGCAATTTGGATACAAAACATGAGATTAAAGTAATCAAGTTCTCGGTAAACCTTGCCACACAATCCCTCGAGATTTGAGAAACCTGTATAGTTGATTTTTCTGTGTATTTTTCTGTATATAATTGCAACTGGAAACCTCTGATTTTCACCAGCAAAGGGCAACTTCCGGCAAACTCGTGCGCGAAAAATAGTCGTGACTGCGAGAAAACGAGTGTCTCCAAGCAAATAGATTCGAATCGCTTAAAAAAAGACAACCTTCAAGGCTTGATAAGCTCGAGAATTCGACCGATTGGTTGTGACTAAGTGTCGAATAGCATCAGCTTTTATCCAACATGAGTAAATTTTAATGAATAATCGATAATTCCGTTTCAAAAAATTTATTGAATTTATTTTTGCATTTTCAGGAGAGAAGCCGAATTCAACGGGGTCAAGTCACCACTTTTGGACGGGAAAATCGCGCCTGCTAGTGAGGTTTATCGAAAGGGGCTGGAAGCTGCATGGAAATAAAATAAACACACAGATAGGCTTCAACCGTATTTATCTAATTAGCATATTTATGAATAAGATAGAAAGGGTCTAAGTAATTTTTACAACTTTTTCACATTTTTTTTAATTTTGCCAATGTTATTTTTCGTAACTTTTTATGAAAATTTGCATGTTTTTGGTGCTTTTTGACGCGAAAAATCTCAAAATTACTATGATAAATATTTTATTACCATTATTCATATATTAATAATATTCAATAATCAGTAATAAATAATATATACACTCTGACTCTGGGCAATATCGTTAAATGACCGTATATACTGACTAGGCATTAAATACGCAGAAATACGCGGAAATACAAGGTTCAAAATACTCCTAAAGTAGCTAAAAATAAGCAAATATATAATATCAAATAATCAATAAGTGCAATATATTGAGTATTGGTGGGGTAGTGCATCAATAAAAGTGAGGAATTTAATATATAAATAACGCTAGAATTATACTTGGCCTATGAGCTATTTGGGCGGTTTTTAGAAAATCGAATTTTAGCCTAAAATCAAATTTTTAAATTTTTAAAATATACTAAAAAGCGCCGAAACTACCGTAACCCATCGCTAGACGGGCCAAAAAAGCACGGGGTAATTTTTAAGGACAAGGATATGACATGTAAAGTATCAACGGGGTAAGGAAAGGGTGAAAAAGTGAATTGGGTAGATGAGTTTTTAAATGTAGCATTTAATAAAACGAGCATAAATCTATTGTATTCTGTGGCAGCGAAATGTTGCGGAGTGTAACGGAAAATTCAAGGCTGAGGGTATTAAATGAATTTTTGATTTGGTTTAACTTGTGGCACCCGTTTGACGATTCAGCTGATAGCTGGGTAGCCGATGTCGAGAACGGCTGAAAATGACTTGTTGCACCTTGTTTGGTTAGATACCCAGGCTATTTTTGTTAAGATACTGTAGATCTATCCAAAATCTTGACTTTTTCTGTGAAAAATTGTGAAACCAAACCCTAAAATGCCAAAATTCGACTTTTGCATTTTTTCATGGAAAATCTTCGTGGTTACTATACAAGCCATTCTCTATGGTTTTTTTTGAAGCAACAGAGGATGTCATAGAGATAATTAGGCTACAAACTACAACTAGTGATGCGAGCCGTTTTCCCACTTACTTGGGTTGTACTGGTAGCTGGGCTGGTGGGACGCCATCCGGACACGGTCGACCGGGATGTTCATCTGAAAATAGAGGGATTGGAAAAGCGAGACAGAGAGAGAGAGAGAGAGAGAGAGAGAGAGTGAGAGAGTGAGAGAGTGAGAGAGGTCAAAAGCTAGTCAAAATTTCTTGCCTGGTGTCTCGAGAACGAGGTCCGCTCACAAGGCTGCAACGGGTACCATCTCGGCTGACCGGACAGGATTCCACGTTCTGAATTTGCATAAATAGCGGATTTTTGGGATTTAAGATGCCAGTTCATTTAAGCATTCTTTTTTCACAAGACATTTAAAGGAACGTGCAAGGCAGAGGCACAACTCTTGGCTATCGTGTCATTTCGACCAAGTACGCGGAAAATTAATCAATTACTCGAATACAAAATTCATGGTTGTGCCCCCTGCCGTCCCTTAGATCGGGGTCTGCACGCAGCCTTTGAACTGCTCGATCTCGACTCACCTGCCATGGAGATGACCACTTGGCCCATCGTATTGTTCTCGGTGAACCGATCGTAGTCCCACAGCGAAAACTCGAGGTAGTGGGCGTGGAGGGCGGTGGATGGGACGTCGTACTCCACGATTTGGTTCCATTCCGGTTCGGTGGAGGAGGGCACGAAACGGGTACGACGTTTGTGGGATACTCTGAAAAAGACGAAGTTGCTAGGTGGCTCACGGAATTTGAATCTCTTGGAATCCTAAAAAACGCATCCAACTCACTTTCGGCCAGGCAGAAGGTAGATCTTCACGAATGGATTCGGAAGCGGATTGGCGCGCTGGCCGTCACGCATCGGAAGTCCGCGCGCGGACAAGATTCTGACGATCAGGCGAGAGGTGGCTCTCTCGTACTCGAGAG